AAAAACAAAAATTATATCAATCATTATTACCAAACAAGACATAATAACATGATCATTAGGTGCGTTTTAATCATCCGCTTCTGCTTCCGGAATTGTCGGTTTAGTCGTTTTAACCTGTCAGATTAAAACAAGAAAACCGACAATTCCGAAGCAGAAGCGGATGATTAAAACGCACCTATTGTTTCATTTCGAAGATGATGCCAACCAATAGTCATGAGATATTTCTATCTACAAATCTGTTGAGAAATTAATTTGCATTTCAAAATGACTGAATCTACGTCTAAAAAGAAATGCCGCCAATACAGTATTGAGTATTTAAAATATTGATTTACATGCTCTCCTACAAACCAGTGCTTAATTTGCCTAAAAGCTTTTTCAAATGAAGCTATGAAACCGTTTAGGCTACAAGAGCATTTAAATAAAATACATGCTGATAAGAAGAATAAAGATTTATCCTATTTTTAAGGACTGGAAAAGTAATATTTAAAACAGCCAACTGTACTAAACCTTTTTGCGTCGTCTTCTAAACAAGATGATGACTATAAGCCTCATATAACATTTCATTGTTAATTGCAAAAGCTGGAAAATTACACACAATTGGTGAGGAATTAATTTTGCCGGCAGTCATAAAACACTGTCAGACATCATCAAAAAAATGCTCCTTAGTAATAATTCAGTGCAAAGAAGAATAGACCTTTTCATCATATATTTTTTGTGCGCATGCGTCAGTATCAGCCATCTTTTTCGTACTGTGTTTTGTTATCAAGCATGTTAAAATGTCCACGTGAAAAAAATTATAATCGATAAATATTAATTTTAAGTATATTCGTTTAAAAAAATGGGATAAAAAAGTAAAGTAATAAGTGTCTTAATTGAAAAATCAATTTTTGCAATCAATTAATTATGTTATCAATACGAAAACGAAAAAATAAACGGTATTGTTATGAGTATGTAAAAGTGACACACGGTATAAATTACTATTTTATAAAAAGACTTGCCTGCAATATCGTAAAAAACTATCAAATTAGGCAAAATACATATTAAAACATGTTCAAAATGAGCATTATGAGTGAAAAAATGTGGTCGAAGTGACAAAGGTTTTCGATCGATTGATGGATGATGTTAGGTACTAAGGATACTTATATTTGTTCACTACATATTCATGGAGAAAGTGATTCAACAGAAGAAAGTCCTTGTCTGGTATTAAACAATATTTTTTAATATTAAATACTACTTTGGTATACACAGTAATATTATTAAAAATGTCATGTTGATCCTTAAAATTTTAAATAATTTATCTTATTAATTATACTCGTGATTAACTTTCATGTTATAAAGTGTTTTTGCAATTATTAATAGTTGGTTGGCATAATTAATTAGAATAGAGTTATAATTATTATTTGTTTTCATTAATTTTTTACACAGTTAATATTGAAACCTAACCTCTCAATCACACTTTTTTCCTTCTTCCAAACGTCCACGTCACTTCTAGAACCTTTTTAATTGCTCAAAACTATGTGCTTGCACAGAGTTATAAAAATGTAAATCACCATCAACAATATTTTCTAATGATCGATTTGTATGTAGAGATAATATTGCTTTTCCAGCCATTGTTGATCAAAACAGTACGAAACTTTTGAATTGGCGCTATTTCAAGATGGCGGCTGCGCTTGCGCTCATCACATGATGAAAAGGCCTATAGACGAGATGGCAAAAGATTATTGAACACTTAAATTTTCCATTCAACTCGATGAATCAACTCTACCAAATAATGAATCTCTACTCTTATCATAAGTTCGATTTATAAAAGAAGAAAACATTTATCAAGAGTTATTTTCTAAAAATTTGGAAAACGATACAAAAAGGAGAATCTATATTTAATACCATGCAAAAGTTTTTTCAAGAGAAAGAAATCCCTATTTGCAATATTTTGTAAGCAGCTATTAATGGTGCATCAGCAATGACAAGACGTCATAAGGGTTTTATAGCGTATTTGAAACGAGCAGCATCAAATGTACTCGCTGTACATTGTATTATTCATTGTCAGCATTAAGTTGCAAAAAAATTGAATAAACATCTGCATACGTCACTCCATCACTCCATTACGTTATTAGAGCAATCAATAAATAAATAAGATTAGAAGCAAAATTCATTGAATGACCGATTATTGGTGTTTGTCTGAATCGTTTTTTCAATCTATCTGACTCAGTTCTTGACTTTGTCGAGAATAGAGACGAAAAATATAAAGAAAACCCGATTCTATTAAAAAAAAATATTTGTCAAACCTGTTTAAAATATTTAATGAAGTTAACTTACAATTGCAAGGTGATAAGTTGAACTTAATTAAATCAAAAAGCGTCATAGCTCCCTTTGTGGGAAAACTTCTTTTATTTAGACGAAATCTAAGTAGAGGTGAATACAAACACTTTCCCAGACTATCAACACTCTGCGAAACAGGATTATTTACTTACTTCACTTGAAGGTTCTTCATGTTGATTTTATGGAGCATTTCCAAGATACTTTAAACATGAACGTACTAAGTTGGGTTTTACATCCTTTTGCAAATGCAGATACAGAAGATTCATCATATTTGGAAAAGAAACTCTTGGAACTCGCAATTAATGAAGAACTCAAAGTAAAATGCATACATAGATTTTAAGAAGTTTGTCTCCAAAAATCAATATCACTTTACCCTGGATTGTGGGCAGTAGAACAGAAGTTTTTAATTGTATTTCCTTCGCCCTATCTGGCTGATCCTGGATTTAGTGCAGTAGCTAATGTACTGTCAAAAAAGAGGAACAGACTGCACATCACTGAACATGGCGATCTGCGTTAAAACTCCACCAGCCTCAACCACCTCATTATTTTGTGTTTATCTCATTTTTTAATTCTTATTGATTTTGTGTTTGTTTTTAAAACTTTAAACAATTTTATTGTACATTTGGTTGTAATTTTATTAATTTCTACTTTATGATTTTTAATAGATAAATAAGCAGATAAATAAGGTACCGATAATATGCAACAATATTTGAATAGTTCATATAAAAAAATTACCACTTGTTTTTTATTTAGATTTTTGTCACAACTTTTTACATGTTTTATGTTTCGGAGGGGTGTTGAAACTTTGTTTTCTTCTAAAAGGAGCGGCGGTCCAGAAAAGGTTTGGAACCTCTGATATAGCACATTACTATAAATACCAAAACCTGAAAAAAATCATTTTTTTTTTTGTCATCGGCATCGACTGCTACGGCCATTAGCCTCGTGTTCTGTGTAGGCTTTGTTACTGTTTACCAGCGCCACTTTAGGAACAGTTCAAGACAGTTATATTCAAAATTCATTACTTCTCCTAAACAGACAGTTTTTCTACTCGACGCTTCTACATCCCGACCCTTCTACGCCCCGACGCCCCAGCTAAATATTGCCACACAAGCAATGTTTCCATATCAAACAATATAAAATGTCATATATAGAAAAAGACGGCGTTCATCCAACAGTCTGCATGTCTGATGGTGAGTTAATAAATTAATTCAAAATAAATTATTGTATTATGGAAATATGTTAGTCAGTGATAATGAGTATTATCATATTAGTCATTATTATTTAATAATAATGAGTGTTATTGTATTATTCAGTATTATGGAATTAATTATTCAATGTCATTTGGGCTGCCAGATGGACATGCTACAGATTGCATATGCTTTTAAATTATACATAAAAATTTTAAGAATCTGGGTTAGTGAGATGGCAATGCAATATAACTAGTGACTAATAAATTAACAGCTCAGCTGACTGGTGTGAATGACAGTTTGGTTGGCAGATGTTAATGTTACTACAGGAGTGCGTTTAGAAACCCCGCACGGCGCGTCTGACCACATGCATTAGAATAGGGCTCAGACGCGTCGTGCGGGGTTTCTAAACGCACTCCAGGATTGGATTGTCTTCCGGAAATACCACCGATGACGTCCCATGGAATTTTAAGAAATTTGTTTCGTGAAATTTAAACCCATGATTTCCAAAGAAAACAAAATATTTTCACCTATTGTGGTATTACCCTTGACAATTGGCTATAGAATGAATTAAGTAGTAAAACAAATGTGCTTAAATCTATTTACAAAAGAATCAAATATATTATCCAGAAAATTTGCCTGTCTCAGTATCCGAGGAATACAACTGTTAAAAGTACTACCAAGTCTATAAAAAGGAATATAAAATAATTGTGATTGCCTGGTATTACGAGTAGGAACAAAAATATTAATGTTAGATAGAATCTCAGGACAATCATATCTTCCATTAACAATATTAAAAAGTAAAATCAGGCCTCTATGTTTTCTTCTGGTTTCCAGAGAGGGTATTTTTAAAAACTGCTCCATTGTAGTATAATCATAAAAAGTTTGTAATTTAAAGGCTATGTTCCTAAGGAAATTGTTCTGAACACGATTGATTTTTAATTTATCCTAACATTTTCATAGATTTACTTATAACCAAAGAGATGTGGTGGTTAATCAGGAAAATCAGGACAAAATCCAGACAGTTAAGATGTTTCAAAAAATTGCTTGTAATAAAAAAATGTATTTATTATTATATAGTGCCTGAAAAACACATCAATTTTTATTTAATTCATGACATTTGACAACATTAAAAACATGCCTATCCTCTACAGACTACATGATAGCCATCTTAATTTTTTAAATAACAAGAGGAGTCATGTGGCACTTCATTTGAATGGGCTTGAAATGCTGAATTCAAAAATGTATCATTCTTTAAATCTAAACATAAAAGCAGATTTGTGCTATGAGTTATAATCAGGCAAGCAACAAAAACAACTATATTAGATCTAACAAAAGTTGAAAAAGATATGAGTCTGCCTGGACATTCATGAAGGCATGGAAAACCAGAAGAACATGTTCTGAGAAATCTGGATGGCAATCCTAGTAAATGTAAGACAACCATCCCTAAATGGCTTAATAGTACAAATAGGTTGGGAACAAAATTAAACTTACCAATTTGTCCAGATAACCAAATTGCCCATAATGATATCACATAATTAACATCATTGGAACACATGAACATCACTCTTTCATTTGTACGCCCATTACAAAATTTTGTAATATCTTTGGATAATTCATTAGCGCTCATAAAAATATTGGCATATGTATATTTAGCTATTCTATCCCTAATGGCTATTCGGTCTGGAAAGTGCTTGGGATTATGAAATACTGGGCCTGCAGGTATAATAGGAGGAGCATGATGAACTTTTGCTTGGACTTGTTGATACCTTTTAGAAAACTTTAATACTGAAGCTCTCACTTGTGTCTTAAGTAAAGACATATTTATTGCAAATACTGTATAAAATAAAATAAGTTTTAGATAGGTGAGGCCCAAATGTCAAATGTTGATTATATTGTTCTTCACAAAGATTTAAATAAAAACTATTATGATTAAAATAAAAAAAAATTTAATCACATAATCACTTTCAAATTTCGACCACCAATATTCACAAAAAACGTCGCAGAAAGTCGGAAATCGGAAACCAAACAACTATGAGGTTAATATCAAATTATATAAATGTCAAAGATTACCAACAGTGCAAAAATAAATTTACATGCCCCTATAAATTGTTTTTTTTTTTATGGAATCTAATATTAGATTAGATTTTAGATTATCGCTGCATAGCACACACTTGTTCTTTAACCTCTTCAAGTTGTTGAGCAGATTTTAATAAAGAATCGTGTTGATATCCCAAGTGGCTGCAAATCATCTGTAATTTTTTTAGGTTATTTTCACTATTTTCCATTGCTTGTTCTTGAACAGCAAAATTTCGAGCTGAATGCATTAATATCTAAAAATGTAAAATTTAAGAATATTTTTATTATCTACTACCATGATTATGATGAATACCTCTGTGCTTTTAGATCCTCTTGTAATTTGTCTTGCAAGAGATGAAACATTATTGACGTTCACTTGTACGCGATCAGCTAAGCGCATTTTAGAATCAGCAAATAATGATCTGGCACTAGTACTACTTGCAGATGCCATGTTTTCAAAATTTGTTATTAAATATTATGTGAATTTTATGAACAAAATCCATACATCCAATAATTGGAACTGGAACATCAATAAATGTGAAGTTAGAAATCGTTAAATATTTTTGAATTTTCTTCTTTTATTGGTTGTCTTTTTCATTTGCGAGAATCAGTCCTCTATATATGATATCTGAATATCACTTTTTTAAACAGGAAATACTGAATCTGGAAACTGACTATTGCAAAATAAAATATATAATAAGTACTACACACAGTACTACGTCTGTTTTAAAATAATTTAAAAACAAATTTGCTTTCTCAAGAAGTATTACTAGTCAGTCAACTATTTAAATAAAACAGAAAGAAGAAGACTTTGATTAAAATGACAGTGGACATTTGTCTGATTGGTCATTCATCATTTATTTGTTTACGTAAATAAAAATTAAAATAGAAGTTTTTATTTTTAATAATTACTAATAAATAATGGATCCTGCATTATTAAAGGAAAGGGAATTATTTAAAAAGAAAGCCCTAACAACTCCTTCGTAAGTAAATAATTTTGAGTTATTGACTTTATTTTAGTTATTTTTTTTGTAGGATAGAAAAGAAAAAAACAGAGTCTAAACCTGAGCCTCCTAAAGATGAAAAGAAAAAATCTAAGCCTTCATCTAATATCCCTAGTGCTCCAAAACTTGATATTAACACGTAAGTAAAAAATAATCAATGTTGATTTTCAATAGGTACATTGAAAATCCATTATTTGAATAGCGTTTTGCAGTAATTTTTCAACTCCAAAACAAGAGTTGTGCGTCTGTAGTTTTTTGTTTCTTACTTTAATGTCAATCTTCAAACATCGAACAAACAATATTATTTACGTGTAGGTACTAGTATTACAGAGAGCTTTCGAACATACTCAGACAACATAAGTATTTGTTAACTTTCCTTTTTCTCAGACACACATGTTAAGAACTACAGAGTCAGATTATAACCCTCAATTATTAACTATATCTTAAATAATGAGTGCTCCATATATATAACTGTTGTGGGCAGTGTTGTAAATTGGGCACTGATGATATTGACCGGACATTAACGTCAGCAGAATGCCCAATCAAATACGTGATTTACGAACATGACCAGCCAATATCAAAGACCAAAATATCATCTTTGACCCTAACACTAACTTGGGGAAATGCTGGGCTTTACTTCACTACAAAGAATTGTTGTCAGCAGTTCCCTCTATTCTACGTGTAAACTATAATGAACCATGTGAATCATTATTTATACTACTTAGCGTAATGACCCTCTTTTTACAAATATTTAAAAACCTAGCTGTAAAAAACAATTTTAGAAATTTCATATGTCACTCGGACAATCATACATACAATACCAGAAGGAAAAATCAGCTAATCCAAACAAGAACTTGAATAAACAAGTCCCGAGCAATAAGTACTTCTTTCTAAAATGCACTTTCACCCCACATTCGTAATCTAATCAACCAGGAAAATTTTCCCATGGGTAAAAATTCCACTGCTTATTTTCCAGTGGTATTATAAAACTGTATTCTCCACTAGGTTAGGAATATAATTTCTGTAGCAATTTAGATTTCTCTTATATTCAACATATGCCTGGTATTAAATATGAAAATATTAGAAACTGACCAATAATAATCAATAGTTTCAAGTTGTTATGTTGGGAATCATTGATTCTTGTCATGTCAATGATAATAAATAATGTCAATTTTTTATTCTTGTTCTTTCCTTGCCTTAAAAAAATAACTGTGATGATAGATACAATGATGGATACAAATAAAAATTTGTCAGAGACTCAAAAAAAATGGGGGATATATTATTGTTTCCATATCTGCAAGTATATCAGAGGCCATCTCCTTTGATAAACTAAATAATTTTATAATTTTGCTTTTATTTAAAGATTCAAATTGCCTCATTCCCAAAAATCTCTTGGGGTATTATTTGCTTTTCTTTCTGCCTCTTCTATATGGTTTAATTGAAGTAAAATAGCTTCATACATTTTTAGAAATTGGTATATTAGAAATAATAATATTAATATTTAAAGTAACAAGAAAATAGCAAAAGTGACTGGTAACAAATTAACTTTTATTCAGTAGAATCCATTACCAATATTCCCATTGGAAATTTGATTTCCTATAAGTATTTATATTTCCATATTAATAACTACTAATAGACCACTTTCCAATAAATATGCTATCCTGCATTTCTTACTTTTCCAATGAGCAACTGGCATGCCAGAAATTGATGAAGTAGGGTCACTCCTACTGAGTTTTCTATTTTATATGTCACTTAATATATTACAGATTTGAAATTTATTTTGAAACTCTCATGTTGGTTGACTTATTAATGCAAAATACTGTCTGTCTATTTGGTATAATGAAATGTATTTTTGAAAGGTATAAAACTTCTACAGGAAGTTCCCAATATCGTTTTGGAGTATTAGCAAAAATTGTTAAACATATGAAAACTAGACACCAAGAAGGTGAAACATATCCTTTAACATTAGAAGAGATATTAGATGAAACTAATCAGCTCGATGTTGGAAATAAAGTTAAACAAGTATGTTGAGTAAATTTTCTTGGTTCAAATTGAGAAATGAGTGGTTTTTTGTTTTGTTTTCAGTGGTTGCAGACTGAAGCTCTTAAAGACAATCCCAAAATAGAGGTAACACCTGAGGAGAAATTTGTATTTAAATCACTATATAAATTAAAAGATAGAAAAAGTTTATTGAAATTATTAAAGCAACAAGATTTGAAGGGAATTGGTGGAATTTTACTAGAAGATGTTCAAGAATCTTTACCCCACAGTGAAAAAGCTTTAAGGGTAAGTCAAACATTTTTATAAATTTAATCTTGGAACTTTACAAGACAATTATATTAAAATCTAGAGTATTGTTTAAAACTATACAAACATAATCTTAGGGAAATATGATACTGCATATAATACTAAACTTTAACCATTAAATATAATTTAAAATTACATACACAGGGTGAATCCTAAGTTGATCCTTTTTTTAACTGTTTGTATAGAAGTCATTAATAAACAATTTTTTAAAAAATATTAAAATGTATCCAATACACTAATTAAGCACTTTGATTCATATGCATTTTGAAGACACTAGTTATAAATAAGCAACATATTATTCTCAAATTTATTGTTTTCATATAAACATTCTACTGAACAGTATACATCCGATTAAATTACATTGACCAGTGAGCATGTGATTCATGATAAAAACCTAACACAATTGACACATCCATTGTTTAAAGTAAATTACATGTATTAAAATTCAGGGGCACCATGGCTTAGTTCTTATTTAGATGCACGTCAGGTATGTATAAAAATAGGTAATTGAAAAGTCTAACTATAAAAACAAATTCAAACATTTCATCAAAGGTTATAATCACTTCTTTTTGATGTTGATATTAATGATAGTAACAATAATTTTTGACATACTATGAACTAAAAAACCTTAAAAAACCTGCTTATATATTTTTAAATTCTTAGATTTTTCACAACACTGGATTTGACACTGATTGTTGATTGAAAGGTTTAGTTTTACCTTTTGTCAGACTTCTTCACATCAAACAAGAAAATCAAAGACAAAAATTATTTAAATATAATATAACTTTTTTATTTTATTAAGAAAATTTAATTATTTGTGCTTCTTGAACAAATCATTGTAGAACTCAAAAAAAAAAATTAACTTCGCACATACAGGGTATTCAAAAGTCTAAAAGGTGATGTTTTATCATTTATGGTTTACAGTTTTTGATCATTTTGGAGATTAATAATATAGATAAATATATGTTATATATTTCGTTTTTAAGGGGGAAAAAAAGCAAATTTAATAGAATATAATTGGGCAAAAAAATATAGTGTGGTCCATAAAAGCGGCTAAATTTTAAAAATAATGATATTTTTGACATGTTAGGAAAAATTAACACCCAGTATTGTATATCATTTGAAAGAGAAAGATAGGGTTCTGTTATTTTAAAAATTTTTAAACTGTAATTGTCCCCTTTAAAATTTAAATTTTGGCTACACACGAACATGGAAAAAAAAATAATTTTCGAAACATATGTAGTGCTAAATGATTGAAAATAAAAATAATGACCGATTAAACCAAGGAAATTTTCATTTATATAAAATTCTACTACGCACAGACTTTGAGATTTTTCTTAGTTTTTTGTTTTTAAATTTGTCAGATTTGTACGAAAGCTTCCTGGGGCCACTTTTTTTATAAAAAAATATTATCTCGCAATTGTGACTTATTATCTCATAATTGCGACATATTATCTCGCAATTGTAAGTTATTATCACGCAATTGTTACTTATTATCACGCAATTGTGACTTACTATCTCGCAATAGCGACTTATTATCACGCAATTGTGACTTATTATCACGCAATTGTAACTTTCTATCTCGCAATTGCGACTTATTATCACGCAATTGTGACTTATTATCACACAATTGTGACTTACTATCTCGCAATTGCGACTTATTATCACGCAATTGTGACTTACTATCTCGCAATTCCGACTTATTATCACGCAATTGATTTATTATCACGCAATTGTGACTTACTATCTCGCAATTGCGACTTATTATCACGCAATTGTGACTTACTATCTCGCAATTCCGACTTATTATCACGCAATTGTGACTTACTATCTCGCAATTGCGACTTATTATCACGAAATTGTAACTTGTTATCACGCTATTGTGACTTACTATCTCGCAGATTTAGAAACATAAATGACATTTTGTGTCTACCCAATACACTCACAAAAGAAATGATAAATACAATTGAATATTTGAAGAAGTATCTACCAGAATGTAACGACAGTATTTAATTCTATTTTAAATGCCAACTTTCGGAATGTTGAAATTGATTAGTTTCTGAATATAATAATACAAAATTATGTTTTATTTTTGCGAAGGAAATATTGTTTAACTTGTTCTTTTCTCTTTAATGTTATGTTTCTATTTTTGTTTATTTTATAATTTGATGTATGTACTACCAAAAACAGTATTTTTTTAACATTTATTTTTGTATGACAGTATTTCTCGTTAGTATCTTAAGTTTCTATTTGGCCTAAAAATGCATTACTCACGAACTTTTATTTTGTTTTACCATTTAAGACTGTTTTCTAATTTTTTTTTTGAATGATAACTTGTCACATTTTCAATACTAGTATTTTATTGTTACCTGTTTCACTTTTTAATAGACTCTTTGCATTGAATGTTGATATGTATTTAAATTTGTTATTTCAAATCATACATCACTGTGTACATAGATGTGGTTGATTGTATAACAGCAGTGCTTCACAGCGAACCAAGATGTATTTTGTTTAAATTGCTATAATTTGAACAATTTTATTTTTTACAACTATAGTGGTTCTTACAAATGAAATAATACAAGATATTCTTTATTTATATACAACATTTTTTCAGAAATTTAACTTCAATAGGAAATATACAACAAAATTTGTATGGTTTTCTTTTAAACAACTGCCTATATAATGTTTTAACAATACCTAGGTAAGTTAAAAAATTATCATTAAAAAAACAAAAATAGTTGTGTGTATTACTTTATTGCATATTAATATTTAAACAAGTTAAATAAAATTGTTTCTAAATTTTGTTTTATATCCCCACTTAAGAGTCGTGGCTAAATTATGTTAAATTCATTAAGTAGGTTGTAATATTTCAATAACAATTATGTAAATAATAAATATAAAAACTCTGCCTTTATATTCATTTCTTTCACTCCATTATATTAATTAGGATATCTCTTAAATTGACATATAAATCTACAAGGCTGTATGGATCATCACTAAACATAAAATTATTTTCATTCATTAAGAGTGTGCATAATTCAAAGAGATCATTATCGCAGATAGTTTCTGGAAAAGTTGCTTCATTTTTGCAGACTTCAAAATCGTTGATGTCAACTGGACACAGGAATTCCTTTGTATTAAATGTCTGGGGGTTTTCGAACATAACAACTGGCCTTTCATTTTGACGAACACTTTGCCTACTTCTGGTTATACGGTGACAATTCCAATCCCTCACAACGGTGTTTAACTCCTTCTGTAATAAAAATGTTGTACAAAATTAATTTAGTTGGATTTATCTTTATTTTCCATAAAAAGTGAGGCTCAAAAACTGCGCCTTCTATTATTCATGTTTGAGAAAAATATTTTTTATATATAAAAGTTGGTGCATCTCTTAAACCCCCATATTACCTCAATTAATAAAAAATAGAACGTAAGAAGGAAAGACAAAGTATTAAATGAATTCATGTTATTACCCATTATTGGGTACTATGCGAATTATGAACTTATATAAGATAATTTTTTCTAGGAAATAAGAATTAAATAGAATAAATAATTAATTTTCACTAATGTGACAATCTTATTATTAGGAAAGAAAACTCAAAGTCATTTACCACAGAATTTTTAAGAACTGTTTAAACAAGCAGCTACTAGTTTCAGGCTCTACGCGCCATCATTAGACAAAAAAAATGTATTGTAAAAATTAAGTGTAGGTTAAAAATTCATTATCTCAAATACAATATTCTATTATTTTAGAATTAGTCTGAATGTGATAATTAAAGTTTAAAAGCCAAATCATGCAAACTTGCGGTTAAGTTGAGAAGTGGAGAGAGAAAAATTATGAAAGAATACGAGGTAGGAAAATTGTTAACTGGAGATAACGAAGAAAGAGTGAGAGAATAGTAGAAAATAGTTAATTGAACCGATTCCTGGTATATACCGGGTGTTCAAATTAAAGTTAAATACCGCCGAAAATATGCATTTTATAAAAGAAAGTTTCAGACAAAAGTTTTATAGTTTTTTTGTTCTTAGTTCTACTTTAGAAGGATCTAAGTTTTGTAATATTAAACGAACCATATTCTGCAAAACAGAGAAATCATTTTGAATGCATTTCAAATGCATCCATCTATACCCATGGAGTTGGGAAGAATTTTGTAACTGATGGTCTATAAAATTTACTCAAATATCAGCTTCACTGAAATATTTTTTTCTAAACAATTTGTATTTGTTTAAAATACTCTTTAGTTGTCTTTTTGATATATTTGTTGAAAATCTCTTTCAGTATGTTTCGAATTTCACTATAATTACAGCCACTTAAAAAATAGTGTATAATAAGATTATTTCTTGATCTTGAATCCATCGTCTAGTGTTGTAAAGATCTTAAAAGATGGATAAAATTTAATGAATTAAAAATATGTTTAAACTCAACTCACCTGAAGCTACTACAAGCTCGAGAATAGAGAATCACTTCACTGTTATTTCACGAAACATCGACCAAAGCTCACCATTTTAAGCAGATATGTGACGGCACAATAACTCACAATTGCGTGATAATAAGTCACAATTGCGTGATAATAAGTCACAATTGCGTGGTAATAAGTAACAATTGCGGTATAATAACTCACAATTGCGAGATAATATGTCGCAATTGTGAGATAATAAGTCACAATTGCGAGATAATAATATTTTTTTATAAAAAAAGTGGCCCCAGGAAGCTTTCGATTTGAGAATTGGAATTTATTTCCTTTTATTCTTAATCTATTATTTCAGATATTACAAAATCAAAATGAAATCATATTTATTACAAGACCTATGGATAAGAGAAAGGTTTTATTTTATAATGACAGGACAGCCACTATGCCTATAGATGAAGAATTTCAAAAACTGTGGAGATCAGTAGCTGTGGATGCAATGGATGATGCAAAAATAGAAGAGTATTTAGACAAACAAGGTAATGTTTTTTCATAGACGACCATTCGATAAACTTGTATTTGCTTTGACTTTTATGAAATAGTCACATAATTGCATTAATAATAAATAATGTTTTACATCCATAAATAAAATTAACAGTCCTGTTAGTTATTATAAAATTATATATTTTTTTTTTTTCAGGAATACGTTCAATGCAAGATCATGGTCTAAAAAAAGCAGCAGCTCCAAAGAGGAAAAAGCCTGGTACTCGTAAAAAAGTATTTAAGAAACCTCGTGACAATGAGCATTTAGCAGACGTTTTGGAAACATATGAAAATGATACATTAACTCAAAAAAATTCAGTCTAGCCTATGAATTAACCTTATGTATTATTTGTTTACTGTTTATAAGTAATAATTTTGGATTAGGAGTTTGCTTTCTTTCTAATAAATCATTTTGGAGTTAAATTTATTTATTAGTACTGTTAAATCATTATTTTTTCTGTCAAACTACCATGGTTGCTAAACTCGTGTTTTAAGTAGGCAGTTTCTGTTTCTCTGAGCCACTTAGCGTCATGGATATATATGGAGGTGCCATGAAGCAATTGTGTGGCATAGGATACATGTTAAAAATTATCCCACTTTACAAGGCTTAAAAAAAACCTCTAACCAGGGTCATATTCAGGTCTAATTAAAGTCGTATGTGCAAAATTACAAGTTTTAAATGAATTAAGTATAAGATGTGTGTTCAACAAATAATAATCTAATATTGATCCGAAATTGATTCCTATACTATTTGTTTACCGTTTTCTGACTGAATTCTTGTTTGAACGCATTTATGACTACTTGGAACATTGGACTTTCAATCAGGTATTTTCTTTAAAGATTTTTGGAATGCTAAAAGTAAACCTGTGCATGAGTATGATGGAAAAAGCACTGTCCAGATTGCGAGTATTTAGTCGTATCAATTTATAAACGGTTTGCTGACGTATCATTAAGGGCTCTTTCAGACACAACGATTTTGTCTGTATTTATTTTTTTCGTGAGCCGTTGATAGTACACTGATAGAATTAACTACAGCTTTCATACTGGATGGAGACGGATTTTTTCCATACAGTCGATTTGAAAACAGCCGTGTCAACGACTGATATTATACGGTAATGTACTGTCGCTGTTTTATCAGTGGCCTATGTGACTTTATGCACGATTTCACAAATGATGATTTTTAGTTATCTGTTGTTGCGTGCTGTTTGGTTTTCGTTTGTGCTCTTGTATTTTGGTTTACTCGTCAATATAACCATGAACAATATTGATGTAGAACTGCTCATATCTTTGGTAGAAGCTAGACCGGATAAGTCATTAGAACTGTACAAGGATAGAAATTTGACAAAGAAGGCTTGGGAGGAAATGTGGAACAAATTAAAATCTCATTTTAATGAGTTGCAAGATAAAGAGTAAAATGCATGAGGTGAGTTATATTTAATTTAATTGTAAACTATAGTACCATTTATCTAGACCATAAGCTTAGGTAAATAAGCACAAAATTGTTTATATGTATTTTCTTAAAACTAAAATAATATGTAAATGTTTCTGTTACAGTTTCAACATTTGTTTACAAAGTAGTAGCATCTGTCAGATATAGAAAGTAGTAGCATATTTGTCGCATATTGTTTGCCGCGTGATGAATGTTCCAGTAATAAATCATCTAACCCTTTAATTGTCCTAGTGTCATAAAATAATAATAATAATTATATTTAATCTAAGAGGTCAACGTTAATTGGTTGGTGAAAGATTCACCACCTCTTTGTTAAAATTCAAAATGTACACTCGACATATCACCTCGATCTACTTAATATTGAAAATACGTTTTTCTATTGGAAAATGCGAACCTTGAAACGGTCGCAAAAGGTGTTGGTGTTGGGTGAGGAAATAGGGCATGCTAGGTCCATCTATTCCTGGGAGACATTTATGTTTCTTACTAACAAATTCTATGAACTATATTCATACCATTGCATAAAACAAGACATTGACACTGATATACTCAATGATGTTAATAAAAATATTAAAGAAGAGGATCAAGATTTGAGCATTGGGGAACGCAAGGGATTTCAAAATAATCGTCCAACCTGTAACCACATTTAACAAATTATTTTCCAATATATAAGAATGAAATAGACCCATGAGGCTTGGTCAAGTATGAGAAATTGTAAATCTCTTGTTTAAAACTCCACTATTACAGCCGAAATGAGTTTTAATTATCTCCTTCATTTTTATCATTATTTGAGATCGCTTCCTGTAAACGTACATGAAGAAACTAAGTTGTTTGCCTTTTGGGTCTAAGCACGATTTGTTGTAAATGTCTAAAAGGATGTCAAAGAAAGGCATGTAGGTGCATGAAATTAAATATAAAATGCAATTCAAAATGTGAATAGAGCTATTTTTGTAATGTTTGTTTTTAGGCGTATTTCACACTATTTCTAGTTTTCTTTGTGTTGTTTCTATTTTTTTTACTTTGTTTTTAAGCTATTGCAAAGCTTTTATCGTGGGCTTTAAGCGCGGCGACCGAATCAAGAAATACCGTAACGAAAAAAAAACCTAACACCACCCACTCCGACCGGCACAGCGGTGCGGCGTTGAAAGCCGTGCATCGTCTAACGTCGTTTCAGTTCGGCAGACTTCGGCACGGTGTTTGTGTGCGTGCGACTAGACGTATGCGTGAAGATTAGCTGCTAACTGCTCATAACTGATTCTATCTCTTTTAGACACAATTTCGGAAAAATTGAATTTGAAAATGAATAATGATCCACAAGAATCCACAACAAAATATGGGACCACCATTGACGCGGTATTTTCCAGATATTTAGAGGATATCAAGTCTCAAAAAAATGTTTCTTATTTCAGTTACCATAAACCTATAGTTTCAATGATAAAAATTCCTGAATAACCTACATGTATTGTAAGATAACTTCTCATTTATTCAATAAAAGAAAAAAATTGTTTTCTTATCGGTCACCATGCTCAAAAAGTGTAACTTGAATTAATACCAAAGAAAAAACTTGAATTCATATCGAAAAAAAAATACTGCATAAATAAAATAAATAAATAATTATAATTGCATAAGTTGATAAAAATGCTATGCAATAGCTTTACCGCGGCAGTCCCCGAGTGCCACTCGTATTTTTTTAATATATTTATATTATATGCATTTAATTAAATGCTTTTTCTTTTATTTAAATTCATTGTTTTATTTGAAACGCGTTCAGAGTACTAACACACAATAGCCAGAACGCGACGTGAGTAAACAAAATGCTCCAGAATGCAAAACAAAAGCGTGTTAACCAATATTTCGTGTGGTGGGTAGTATACTTTACCCACAACGCGTTATGGATAATTAAGTTTACTCACTGGAGAAAACGTTTCTAATCGCGTCGTGGATAAACTACTATACCCATAATGCGTTGTGGACAAAAAATTCGGGCAATGGGCGATTTCGGCTATTGCGAATAACATTACATCAGTCTGAAGATAATAATATTTATTAATGCCAGGAACAATATTATATAAAAAAAATACATATACAATTGTATGGTATAAGTCAGAAGCCAGGATAATCTGTACTAGTTTGATACCTACAAAGTGCACACTGGGGTGATTTAAAAATGAATATAGTGGTGCATTTGCTAAGAAATATGGGGAAACCCAGCAAAACCCATATTACTATTGAAAACTAGTATAGATTTCTGTTGATTTCACAAAGTATTTACTAATAATAATTACAATCACTTCGTTTACATAATCTAAGCTGTAAGGCTCAATAAAAATCAAAATTTGACCTTATTTTTGAAAGCTGATAGACTCTTAGTATTTTTTAAAAGATCAGGAAGCATATAAAATTGCAAACATTTGTAACAGCATTCCTTTTCCAGTAGGGTAGTTCTGTGCGTCGGTAGACAAAAATTATTTCTAAACCTTGTATAGTGAAGGTGGTCTGCTATATATTCGTTGAATATACTTTTATTTTTATACACAAACATAATACACTCATACGTAACTAGCATATACTGTTAACAAATTTAGATTTTTAAGATTCGGTAAGCTTTAGATTAGCCTATATTCGAATTGTATTACAAAGACTTCTTGACAGTGTGAATCTCCCCAAAAAATAATTTCATAGCACATTGAGGAATAGAATAGACCATAATACACTGATATAAGATAAGAATGATCTACGACTTTTTAAACTTGTAACTGCTGAGCCTTCCACAAAGTGAATGTAGATGTTCCATCTAAGTTAGATGCTCATCAATTATTACGCCGAGAAATTTTGTCGATTTAAAATATTCTAGTATTACATAAGTTCATTTTTATTACGACTGTGCTTGAAAAGTATGCAATTAGTTTTAGATAAATTTAATAATAGCGAGTTTTTACCAAACCATTTTAAAATTCTCTCTACAGCATTTGAGGTATCTTTTTCAAATACTCTGTAATGGTTTTTAGATAGTAAGACATTTGTGTCATCGGCATAATTAGTGAGAGCTACAGAATCATTTGTAAAAATTTTTAGTAAATCGTTTAGATAAAATACAAATAAAATAAGACCTAAGACACTTCCCTGTGGAACACCCAGCATAGTATTTTTTGATTTAGAGTAATATTCGCTATTGTCATATTTAAAACAAACCCGTTGTGTCCTATTTGAAATATAATATTGAAAACAGTCATATGCATTACCTCGCACCCCCATTTTGTATAATTTATTTAGAAGTATATGATGATTCACACAATCAAAGCCTTTGTTAAATCTAAGAAAACTCCGTGAACAATATTTCCCGAATCTAGAAAGTGTAAAATTCTCTCAACAAAATTGAAGACTTCTGTTGTAGTTGACTTACCACTTTGAAACCCATGCTACGTACTTGTGATTTGAGTAACATGAATTAAGTTGGAAGTGGTTGAATATGCTCGTCATAAAAACCATGTTGATTGAAATATTTTTTTCAACTTGATAGTATAAGAGTTTTTTGTAAAAGTATTTCAAATACCTTGCTAAAATTAAAGATGATAACGACAGATCTAAAGTTACAAAAATATCAAACTGACTGTCTTTTTTTATAGATTGGACAGATCTTAGAAATCTTCCAATAAGGTATTGTTTTAGGCTTTAAACAAATTTAATATTAATTATAAAGGAGAAGTGAGAACAACGGCACAGTCTCTCAAGATGAACGCGGGATTACGATTGGGACATGTAGTCATCCTTGATTTAATAGTTTTAAGAGCATCAAGAACTTTTTTTTCATCAAATGAGCGAATGTCATTCACTGCAGTATGCAAAAATGAAACGTCAGAAGGAACTGTATTATATAGATGATATTGTAAAATAATTACTGAAATAATCTGCAAATGCATTAATTTTGCCTGGGCTTTATAGGAGGAACAAAAGTTGAAATAGCTATTTGTGTATTAAGGGCGAAAAGCGATACTTTGCCGCTTGAGACAAAGTTGCCCGCGCAACTCGATTACAATTAAAACGCACAACCTTTTGATTATAGGTTCTCGGCAAGATAGAATATAATATTCAAATTTAATCAAAGACTCTTTAGATGACGTCGTATGTCGACATACATCACTTCGTCCAAAATGATTCGATAAGGGAGATAGTAATCAAATTTCTGTAATACCATTTATTGTGAATATTTTAGAAAACACACGAAGACAATGCCACCGACAAGTCACTAGTAAAGGTGACGTTTGGTGGTAATAACAAAATGAAGGCTTATTTTACATTGGACATATTTATTTACAAAATATAACTAAAAAGTAAAGATTACAAAGGCGTTTAATTAAATTTTTATTTTCTTATAAATATAATTTGAAAACCATACTGCTCCTGTGAAAAAGTGAAGTAAGGCCATTAGCCTAAAACAGTTTTTGAAAGAAGCATCTGAAAAATAAAAAAAATATTACTATATGGTGTCAATTATAGACAGACCTAGCGGCCGCAAGGTGGTACGATCGTACCTCCGACTGGAATTTTGTGACGTAGTTGGGGGATCATCAGGAATTGTCATCTGTAAGGATTTTAAAAAATATCGGCTAAAAATGATCGAACCTCCGGCTGAAAATTTACCTATCACCTCTTTGAAGATCACAGATGAGGAATGCAAATCTTTAGATGACTAGAACAGTGCTAAAGAGCTGTCTGACGCCCACAAATTTGTATTTTTTTTGTTGAAATTTACAATATACATTTGATTAGGTAACTTACTTGACATGTCTCGTTGACTCCGGTAGTTTTTTTTTATTTTGAAAAAAAATATGAATATTGAAACTATTGTTGTTTATTTATTAAAATACATTTTATTTATCATAATATTTAAAATAAACAACAATAATATTGATAATTATAAGAGGTACGATCGAACCACCTTGCAGCTGCTAGCTCTTATACTATTAGCAATTTCAATGTAATAGCCAAGCATAAAAAATATAAAATAACGACAGCTTGAGTCGACTTCTTTGATATCAGAGCGGTCAGATTCTTATTGAAAATTGACGTTTTTGCTACTTATTTCTGGACTGAGAAAAATTACTGCAAAATATATTGTCCCTTTGTGTGGTCATGTATTACGTAAGCAAACTATCAATGATTTTAGACCCCGCACCACCGTGTATAAGCAAAAATGTGAAAATCGTGAACCCCTCCCCCAAATGATAAAACAAGAATTTTTTTCAAAACTTTTATCCAGTATCAAAATTAAAATTTACTTTTTTAAATCCATTTAATGTCGTAGTACATCTGAGGTTCTCCGAATTGAACATCGTTTGTTCAGATTTGATTATTTTTTCTTTGTATTCACATATTAAATTAACATTCTGTATATGAAATTAATTATTTACTGAATTAAACTGTTTAATTTCATATGCAGTTAATAATAAACATGTTCCAATTTCACCTACAGTTCGATGTGTAAATTATAATAAAAAATACTGACTTGAAATTTAAATATTGTTAATTAAAATGTTTAATCTGTGATAATATAAATTTAGACGCAAATGAGAAATAAAAAGATTGATTAGCAACATGTGACAGTATTACTTACAAAATTCGCCTTTGAATTTTATTCATCAGTACATTTAGAAAAACTATAAAGGATACTATACTTATTAAGTAGTGCAGCGTTACGAAAATTCTCGAATCACTAATCTATTTCTAATAAGAAATATGAAAATAAATTCGGCATAACTTAGCCCCTTTGATAAAAATATCAAAAAATAAATTAACTGTCTTAAAATATGCACTACAAACAATCAAAACGATCAACCACCATTAATCTGTTAACACACGACGGTTTGAATTTTCCGCCTATTAACGTACATGCGCAGCAAAATATGAACTCTGAAACAATGAATTGTCGCTATATAATTTTACTAAGGTATATTATTTATATTTGTATAGGACATTCTACTACATATTTTTATAAAAAGGGGAAAAATATTTGTCGGTTCCTAAACAACCTAATGTGAAAACAAACGAACAAACGCAGGATTCTAACCTGCGATATATTTTTGCCAGACCACTGTCTAAACCGCTCGATCTCATGCGAGCGAAAAATTAATTAGAAACGAAAGATTTCAATTCAACCAAAGTACTTAGTTTATTTTAAATTGTTTTCAGCCTTTACAATACTCCCCCGTTCGTCCCATGTTGTTTTGTATTCTTCGGTAGCATAGAAGGACAACAAAATATATTTTTTCTACGATCACTATCCAAAGTAGAATTTTGTCCTTCAAGATCCAACCACAAAGTTAACATTTTGCGCCAAACAACTTTGTCGCTCGCCGCGCGACAAAATTGACAGCTTTGTTGCTCGCCTAATTTTAATTAGGTATGATATAAATACATACAATATAGATTTATAAACAAACATAAACACATAAACCCCTGGACAACATTGACGCACCAATATACTTCAAATAATATAATATTGGTGTGTTAATTTTGTCCAGGAGTATATTATAAATTGTGAATTCTATCCTGGTTATATCGATACCTTTTTGCCAGACTAACGTAGGCGATATTTGTTTAAATGGCACTTAAGATAGTCTGGCAAATAAGTATCGATATATCTATGAAATCCTACATATTCACTTTGAATTTCTTATCCGCAAATAGGTATTCGAAGACAGATTCAAAATCATTATCTATAATCTATAACGTGCGAAGGGTGGATTACCCGAAGGCACGTAGGCCTCATTAGGCCCATTGTACATCCTCCTAAGATGATAGGCAACTCCTAGCTCGTGAGTCAGCCTACAGATTTAATGTAGTTGACAACGTCGTCAAGAGGTTTTTCTCTTATATCGGCCGGTGTTAGCCTATACTCGCCGAACACAAATCGTCTAATAAATGAGAGCGTCGAGCAATCCTAAAGAATATGCTCGATGGTCTCATCTTCTTGTTTGCACCCTCTACAGAGTGCGGATTCTGATAGCCCCATGATATGGAGATGCTTCCGTACTTGGCAATGACCAGTCAGAATGCCTGTGACTAGGCGTAGATTCTGTCTAGTCATAGTCAAGTATTTGTTTGCTGCAGTGTTGTCAGGATAACTTAAGAGCTCCCTTGTAACTCCGCAGTTTCTTGTTTCATCCCATCTTTCCTTGAATTTCACAAGGGAATGTTCTAATTAGGTCTGTCACTACCGATTTTGTCAGACCAATAGAAGGGCCAGGTCCAAAAAGTATTTGGTTGGCTGCTTTCTTGGCTAGTGAATCAGCAAGACGGGTTACCTTTCGTTGTGGCGTGACCTTTGATCCATCTTAAGGTGACCACATTGTTGATGGATACTTCGACCAAAGCTTCGTGACAATCTAGTACTAACCCTGAGTAAATTCGTGGTCTGTTCAGGGTGAATAATGCTCGCCTGCTATCTGTATAGATGAGCATGTTCCATCCATTATAATTTGTATTACTCCTTTCTCATGACGAAAAGCATGTAAATTGAACGTATGTTACAAGCAAATGAATATATTCAATAAATATAAGTTAATTTTCAACATATTTTCACAATATAATTAGATCTTAGCGAAATTAAACAATATCCATTAGAAAGATTCGGGAGGTAGGCAATATATTATTCACGATACGCAATTTTTAGACTTTTAAAGTGTGCTATTTGCAATTAAATGTAATTTGATAGTTTAAATTTATATCCATTTCTTAAAATAATGTGATCCAATAAAAAATCTTGTGTGCCTTTTAAGCGAAAAGTTATTTGCCGCTTGCTTCGCGTCGTGCGGGCAACTTTCTATCTCAAGCGGCAAAGTATCACTTTTCGCTCTTAATACACAAATAGCTATTTTTATTTTTCTGACTTATAACTCGGAAAAATAGATTTAAGAATCATTTCATGTCGCCTTTACCGTCCATGTAAAAATATTTAAATCCTTTGCCCCTTTAAGACTGCTCATGTAAAAATATTTGGCCCCTTTACCTTATACATCTGCCCATGTAAAAATAGTTGGCCCTTTATTCTTTAAACTCGTCTGTGTAAAAATATTTGGAATTTTTACTCCTTAAGCTTGCCCTTGTAAAAATTATATTTGGGCTCTTTACCTTTTTGATTCTAATATCAAATTCATATACTCAATTCTGGAATTCGTTGAAGCTTGTGCAAAAATCATAGTTACTGTACGTTCCTCGCGTAAGATCAACTTAAAACAATGATTTTAACTTGTCTATAACTTTCGCTTGCAATGAGTAATTACTCAAATGTAATCCTTTTATATAATGACATAAAAACTTTCAATCATTTACTCAACTTTTAAAAATGGCCGCCTATTGGGGGTTTAGTGGCGTGTTAATATTATAAAATGTAGAAATAATATTTTTAAACCAAATAACTCACATATTCTTTATTTCTTGATAATTATAGATGATATTGGAAATTCGAAATAATAGTTGTGACGTAGCGGTGTTATTCTTATTGTAATCGGACTGTACCCGTGTCTAGCAGTGCATGAAATAAGCTCCATAAGAAATGCATTGCATTTTAAAAACGCTAATATTTAAAGCACTATAGTTAAACCGAGAATTATAGAAATTAATAGGGTTCTCGACTTGAAGAAATTATATATTATAGTAAAGTTGATCGGAACTTTTATTCTAGAGTTTTTTTGCCGTCGCACATACCCACAGACGACCATAATCTATTTTTCTACCAGAAAAATAAAAAAATATATTTTGTGGCTCTTGTACACTTCCGTAGTTTTCAGTGGTTTGTTTTCGCATTAGGTTGTTTAGGATAAATACAATAACCATGATAATAAAACTTACTAATAATCAGAAAGAATAGAAATGCACAGCCACTCATAACACTTGTTAAACAAAATTCTTTATTCGTTTCTCCTCTTATTGTTAATCCCAGCAGAGGCATACCAACATATTGTAATGTAGAAATACTAAGAATTACTAGGATGGCTCCAAATATTAAAACTTGTTTTGATTTTGAATCGGCTACCACTAAAATGAAACAAAATTAATATTAAGAAACTTATATTTCAATTTTATTTTGATTCAACCAGAGATAACAGCAGATGTAACTACAGACAAATATCGTTCTGTCGTGAATAAGACATATTCTGAGGGACACAGGAGGGTAATTCATTATTCTCGTTTTGTTTATAAAATTATTTACATATCTTAAAAAGCTAAAATAATTCAACCTATTTTATTGCAATTGATCCCAAAAAATTTGGAATCATTAGTTATTTCAAGTTTAACTAAATTAGATGTAAGAATTTTCAATAAATTCCAAGACCTAGTTAATGTTAAGTTGGATGTCAAGTATTTTGTACTAGATGTGGCAACTGGGTTTAATTTTGTATGTTATTTATTATCGGCGTATAACGGCTTACAAATATTCATTGATAAAATTGTTTTGTAGCGCCCTCAAATACTTTTGTTTACCCCTTCCCTTACCTCACACCACATGTCTCTTCACTCCTCATCTACTACTGGAGCGTATCGACTGTGGTATCTATGTCGGCGTCAAGAAAATTATATTTTAGTAATGAGTATCTATCTCCTGTTATCTCTGGATGTAACTGACTGCTATACGTAAAACATTTGCCAAGCAAATATGACAGCGTTGTGAAGACGAACAGTAAATACTGCAATTGTCAAGTTATAGAAAAAAAATTTTGTTGGTTACAAATAAGTAACTCATATGACAATAATTCGTATTAAAGAAGTAAAAATCTTCTTCTTTAACTCATTTTGTATGTTATCCAACATTCTATCCCGCGCTAGCTATTTCCATTGTCTTCTCAAGGCCGTTACTATACTTTGCTCCTTTTCACAAGACATGGTCTGCAATGTTGTATTTTAGTGTCCATCATTTATTATCTTTCCTTCCATAATTCATCATGGCCTGCAAAACTTTACTTCCATCAGACAACGATTTGTGTTTTGTCTTAAAGCCTTTATTCTTGCTTTCCCTAGATCTCTGTGGTAGCTTCGAATTTTTTTCAACTATTTAAAAATTTACAAAAAATTAAAGTAGTTAAAAAAGTACTTACTAAAATATCCAAAGGCACCAACCCAGCACAATGCCCACAAACATATAGGCCTCCTTTTTTTATCAATATTTATCCAATGAGATACTCCAGTAAACAAAAAACTAGTAATAGATAAGCAACCAACCAAAGTTGTCATATCTCTCATATTAATTTTGGCTACTTCTTGGTAAACGTACAATGGAAATAAACTGTAGTAAACGAAAATCGAGAATTTGGTTGTTAATACAGTCAAGAACGACTTGTAAAATGTCGGCTGCTTTAATATTTCAAGTCTAGTTATGGAATATTTTTCAATAGTTGTAGGCATGAATACTGCAGGTCTTGGTGTGTAGACATCTTGCTCCAAGATGTCATACGAATATGTATTGTTATTGTTGACTGGCAGGTCTGAGAAAAGAGGCATAGGCACACCTGAAATACCTAAAAGATAACAAATTAAATGCAGTTTTTCTACAAAAATATTGTTGCATAGACTAATGTTATTTTTTTCTCCCAGATGAATATTAGCTTATCTACGCACAGACTACGAAATGAAAAAGTATGCTATTGCGTTCAACTGAACGAATATATTTCATATCCATTCTACCTAGTAAGAACACTGCAAAAAAATGAAAATCCAATCAAAGTTCATATTTTGGTCACCCGGCTATTATTTTTTAAAATTTTAAATAAGTGATAATTCTGTCAAACCAATTGTCAGTTTTATCGGATCGATGGCGTAGGTGTCTTACGCGCTCGCATTGATTTGCAAGCAATTTTGTGGTTGAGAGATACACGCCAGCTTCGAATCTAGATAATGTGAATTTTTAATTAATTTGCATGGTTCCCTATAGAATTTGATGGATGCCGTATTAACAGAAATTTAATTTCTGTTGATATGACATCCATATTTTAAAAATCTCCAACCGTTACCGTTTCGATAATAGTCAGTGGGGTTTTCCTCACCTGTAAGTCAAATGGCACCATCAATCATCCTTAAGTCGCTCTGGAGCGCCACGGCAATTAATAATAATATGCGTCCCTTCCCCGGACAAGCTCAGCTTTTATGGTTAGAATTCACTCGTAACTGAGTGAATTAGGGAGAGTATTAGTAATATAGTATATTTCTAGTTATTGAAATTAAATATACATTAAAATGAGTTATTCGATAAATAATAGCATTTCTATTATTAAATAAACCATACATTTTAATAAAACTATACGAAATCAATTAAATTAAAGAGTATTTTTTTAATTGCCCTCGCGTTCTGTGTAGGCTTTGTCACTGTTTCCCAGCGCCACTTCAGGAACAGCACTGTTAATTAGAACCCAACAGTGAATGATCGAGTGGGGAATCCTACCAAGGCATCAGAATTAATTTTAAATAATTAAATTAAATAAAAAAATCCCGGCCAACGTTGGGATTCGAACCTGGGACCCTTGGATCCACAGGCAGAGACTCTACTACTGAGCCACCCACCCCTTAAAAGAGTATTAAAACTAAATTTGTGTCGATGGAGCAGTGACTAGGTCATTTGGCTTTTAAGCAAAGGTCTCGGGTTAATTCTAGGATTGGAGACTAATTAAATGAAATCCTCGACACCCTCATCAGCCGCCTCAAAAATGACACTCACTACACAACATATGCATATTCAGATGACCTGGTCATTCTGCAAACAGGGAATTTTGAGAACATACTCTGCGAAATAATGCAAGTAGCTCTAAAAATTATAGAACAGTGGTGCAAAGACCATTCTCTGTCTATCAATCCTAAGAAGACAGAAATTGTCCTTTTCACAAAGAAAAGGATGAAAATGGAATTAAACCCTCCAGAACTCCTAAACACAAAACTAAACTTTGCAAAAGAGGCGAAGAACCTAGGTCTCACCTTTGACAGCAAGTTAACATGGAACTCGCATTTAGAAAACAGAGTTAAAAGAGCATACATTTCTTTTAAACAATGCCGCCGAACTGTGAGGCGCACCTGGGGTTTCTTCCCCAGAGTCGTCGCATGGACTTAACTCTGCTATTAAAGACCTATGCTGTCATACGGTGCAGTTGTCTGGGCACCGAAACCCAAAAATTAACAGCTATCCGTAAACTAGGACAAATTCAAAGAACAGCATGTCTCAACATAACAGGAGCCATGAAAATAACACCGACCAGAGCCATGAAAGTCATTCTTAGTCTCACTCCCCTTGATATTTACATCAAGGAGGTTGCTCTGACGACAACGACACGCCTCTTCACGGTTAGAATAGAAACTGATGTAGGATCTGGTGAGGCGAGACGCCGCTTTTGGCAGGAGGCGCTTGATACGCTCCCACTGCTTTAAGTGAACATGGACTCCATCTCACCGAGATATATCTTCCATAAGCCATATAAAATTATAATAGAACAAATAGAAGAGCCGGATGTGGCAGGTACGATTCATATCTACATCGATGGTTCTAAAACAAAACAAGGCTCAAGATGTGGAATATACTCCAGATTCTCAAACCTTAACATAAAATGGGCTGTGAGCAATAGTGCCAGTGTAGTTCAAACAGAGCTAACGGGGATTATCATAGCAGCAAAAGAAATACTCAAAAACAATATCACTGGAAGGAACGTGCTCATCTATGCAGATAACAGACAAGCACTACTCACCCTGAACAGACCACGAATTTACTCAGGGTTAGTACTAGAATGTCACGAAGCTTTGGTCGAAGTATCCATCAACAATGTGGTCATCTTAAGAAAAATCAAAGGTCACGCCACATCGAAAGGTAACCGTCTTGCTGATTCACTAGCCAAGAAAGCAGCCAACCAAATACTTTTTGGACCTAGCCCTTCTATTGGCCTAATTAAAGAACATTCCTTGTGAAAATAAAGGAAAGATGGGATGAAACAAGAAACTGCAGAGTTGCCAGGGAGTTCCTTAAGTTATCCTGACAACACTGTGGCAAACAAATACTTGACTATGACTAGACAGAATCTGCTCCTAGTTACAGGCATTCTGACTAGTAAGCCAAGTACGGAAGCATCTCCATATCATGGGGCTGTCAGAATCCGCACTCTGCAGAGGGTGCGAACAAGAAGATGAGACCATCGAGCATATACTTTACGATTGTTCGACGCTCTCATTTATTAGAAGATTTGTGTTCGGCGAGTATCGGCTAACACCGGCCGATATACGAGAAGCACCTCTTGGTGACGTTGTCAACTACATTAAATCTGTAGGCTGGCTATCATCTTAGAAGGATGCACAATAGGCCTAAGTGCCATGGGGGTAACCCACCCTCCACATTTTACAGCTACAGATAAATGAAATCTTTTTTCAGGTTTATTTTATTATATTATTATTATTATTTTTAAATTAGTTATTTCATCTTAACAACATGAAATAATTTTTTTTTTAGATTTTCGTTAGTGGGTCGTAGAAAAAATATATTGTACAACTCGAGTGGATTTTCCGCATCGCATTCAGACTCAAACTTCGCCTTCGTGCGATATAGCTATCATATCCACTCTTGTTGTACAAATTACTATTTTCACGTCGATGAAACGTGTTAACCTGCTTATTTAAATAAGTTTTCAAACCCGCTATATATCATTTTAGGTTACAAATTAATGAATATTTAGTTGCTATCACCCACAAAATGTAAGTAACCGTATTTCCGCTGTTTTCACATTTTTATCCTAAAAATTAGTTTAAACAACAAGTTCGTATTACATTTATTTTTATCAATGCAATTAAAATTACGTTCATATCTTGTATAAACACGTGTCCGGAAATACGTCCTTTGGGAGTAACACGGTAACATAAAAATTATACGAGTGTGGCTGGTTTTGCATTTGTTTTTTATATGACTTATTGAATAATTTTTAAAGTGTTTTACTGATGGTATTTTGTCAAAATTAAAAATATTGTGATTCTATTTGCAATACAATTTCATAGGATGGTAAAGATAAAATAACAGGTATAAAAATATTAGAATACATTAATGTTTTCTGTTAGTTTATTTTTTTAAACAAATAAGTTGAACAACCGCGAATAAAAACTTTTATTTACTCCTATTAAATTATATGTTAATTATTTAACTGCTTTCGAGCAATTAATAGTACCCGTTAACAAACAGCGTGAGTTATTATAACTCACGCTGGACTCCTAGGATAATTCGGTATGTAATTATTTTAGGTTGCTTTAATAATGGGCATTAATGGGTGCAGCAAAATTGCACTCTATGCAATTTACAGATTTAGAAGCTCACGGACCTATTTTTATGGTCAGTGTATCAAACACAAAAACAAAAATTGCCAGAAAATTACGGGAAATGTTTATACTATAGTTAAGAAATATTTCAATCTTCCTCCTATCGATATAGGTATCATAAACGTTATTATTCTTTAAATTTCAAAGTGGAAAATATTGCTTTCAAAGAATTGGCATTAACAAATTTAGAGCAATGGGAAAAGACATAAGCTTTGTCCCAACATCTCACAAAACCGTAATATTACGGTCATCGTCATGCGCAGTAAATAAAAACCGTTCGACTTTGGGCTTTATTGATAGGTTTTTATTTACTGCGCATGACGATGACTGTAATATTACGGTTTTGTGAGATGTTGGGACAAAGCTATTGCTACATTTTTCGGCAACTTTATTAGTAGATGCGGGGGGGGATATAACGCACTGAAGTGCCATGGCGGTTGGCGATCAACTTGCATATTTCAGTCCCACATATTCAGTTAACTGATGGTTCAAATTTTACAGATAATCCTAATTAATAAACAAAATGAATAATTACAACTAAAACTTTTATACCATTGTTATAACTATTAATATTTGTAAATAAAGTTATTTTTCTGTACTTGCATCTTAGTATTTATTGTTTGACGAATTACAGCACTCGCCTATGGCTCGTGCTGCAAACTTCATCTTCGTGAGTTATGACCTACATTACCGCTCGTTGAATAATATACTATTTTATTATTAATTACCCACTTTTATCTACTCACATTTTTTTCTATACATTAATTAAAATGGTACGAAATAAATAGATAAAAGAATAATTATTGTGTGGGTTATATTATGATAAATAGCAGAAAATATCAGACAGTAAATTAACCTACAAACATATTAAAAAATTTGATGATAACAAATTTTCAAATTTAATTTCAACTATTGAATGGTCAAAAATTATTTCTAACAAAAACCCTGCAGAAGCTTGTAATATGTTTTCTGTAAATAGTTACCAACTTAATAAATCGGTGCACAACCACCTCAACAATTACAATAAAAGAACACAAAAAACTAAAACCCTGGATAACTAATGGTATAATAAACTGAATTAAAGTTAGACATAAACATAAAAAACTAGTTAATAAAAACAAACAAAACTTGGAGATTTTAAATAACTATAAAAATTATAGAAATCATTTAAATAAAATTATAGTTGCAGCTAAAACTAAATATTATGAAAATATTTTTGAAAACACAAAAGATATTAAAAAAATTTACAGTACAGTAAAAGAAGCTATAAATGAAAAACTAATAAATCTAATGAAGAAATTGTTATTAAAAATCACAAAACCCATGACACTTTTACCACTGTTAAAGAAATGGTTGATTTTTTTAATAAATACTATATTGAAGTTGGTAGTAAATTGGCAGAAACAATTGAGAAACCATCAGACAAGTTTAAAATAAAGTATCCGTCTATCAAAGACTCTTGCTTTCTAAAACCAGTTGATGAAAACGAAATTGCGTCACACATCAAAAGTTTAAAAAACGGTAGCTCAGGAATTGATAACATCACAACAAAAATGATTAAAAATTACTATAATCATTTTTTATACCCACTTACACATATAATAAATCTAATATTTCTGACCGGCATTATACCTGAACAGTTTAAAATTTCAATAGTTGTACCTATATATATAAAAACGGAAATAAAAATAACATAGCTAATTACAGACCTATTAGTCTTATAATCACATTTGCTAAAATTTTTGAAAAATGCATTAAAGTACGTTTGTATGACTATCTACACAAAAATAACATTCTCATTGTTAACCGAATCAAACTTACTATGGATGAGGGTGATAATTGTATTGCAGTGTTCTTGGATTTAGCAAAGGCATTTGATACTGTGCCTCATCAATTTCTCCTTAATACTTTACAACAGTATGGAGTGAGGGGCACTGTATTAAATCTTTTGAAAAACTATTTGTTAAATAGAAAACAAATGGTGAGAATAAAAAATATCTTAAGCGAACCGGAAATCGTTCAAATGGGAGTGCACTACGGAACGGTTCTTGGTCCAATTTTATTTATCATTTATATCAATACTATTAAAATTACAAATAAATGGTGCAATAATCTCGTATGCAGATGATACTGTCATTGTATTCGAGGATAGTACCCAGACAGCACACCAAATCCTTTGAATATCTACTGAACATCCCAATATCCACTGAATGTCCAGTCCATGGTGGATATCTATTTTTATATCAATGAGATGTAATTTATAGACATGCAAATGTCCATAAATAATAGTAATTATATAGCAAATTATTAAAAAATTATGCCATTGTGCTCGCCATTGTGGCTAATAGTACCATTCAGATATTTAAAATTAATTTTTACTTTCCTATCTGTATACAGATATAAGGAAAGTATAGGAATCATGATTTTTTTCGACCTCGAGTTTTCGACGGATTTTTACGTTTTGAGGTCCCCTGAATCCGTTTTGACTATTTTCGCGATGATGTGTGTGTGTGTGTGTCTGTGTGTCTGTGTGTGTGTGTGTCTGTATAACGCATAACTCATGAACCGATACACAGAAAAACACCAAATTTTAAACTTAAGCTTTGTTTCAGCGTCCAATGAGCTGATTAGATTTTGGGCAGAGTCGGAACATCTGGGGGGGTACTTTATAGGTGGTCATTTTTATATTTTATGGAATATATCTGTTATTTACGTTTGGAGAAGAAAATTCTTCAAATAAAAGTTACTTCTAATATAATTATCTATAATTTTTGTTTCATGCAAAATTTTCTTAAAATGGTCCGTATTCGAGAAATTTGACAAAATGTAAAAAAAATATTTTTTTTTAAAAATTAATCAAATAAAAGTTGTTTGTAATATAATTCTCTATAATTTTTGTCCTATACATAATTTCTCTAAAATGGACTGTATTCGATATATTTGAGAAAATGTGTAAATTTCGAAATTTGAAGAAAACTCAAAAACGGATAAAGGAAAAAACATTAAATTTTAAACTTAAGGTTTATTTCGGCCTGACGTGAAATGATTAGATTTTGGACAAAGTCGGAACATCTGGGGGGGTACTTTATGGGAGGCCGTTTTTATATTTTATGGAATATATCTGTTATTTATGTTTGGAGAAGAAAATTGTTCAAATAAAAGTTACTTCTAATATTTTTATCTATAATTTTTGCTTTATGTCAAAATTTTCTGAAATGGTCCGTATTCGAGAAATTTTGACTAAATGTGCAAAATTCTGATTTTTATGAAAATTGTTGAACTAAAAGTTGTTTGCGATATCGATTTCTATAATTTTTGTTTATACATGATTTTTCTAAAATGGACCGTAATGGAAAAGTGCTAAATTTAAATTTTTCTGTATTTTCGTTTTCAATGAATATAAAAAAATGTTTCGAGGTAGATGTATGTGTAAAATGTATATATTTAGTTTATCCTCTAAACATTTATAGAGATGCTGCAATAGGTTGTACAAAATAACCGGAAAATGCCTATAATAACTAGATAGGAAAGTCATGTGTTGGACACATCAGATTTTTTTAAGGTGTATTCAATATCCCATGGACATCCACTAAATAATCAAAGTCTAGGCGCGAACACAAACCATCATGGATATCCACTAGATGTAATTTTTGATTTTGCTTACTAAGTATAGATGGCGATACTACTTTCGCATCTACTCATGCTCAACCCGCCGTAATTGAGTTCGATCGAAATTTGTTTCACAATCAGACTCCATTAGAGACTGGAGTCGAGAATTTCCATTTATTGCTGAAGAGTCCTAATAAGGATGACTTTCTCCTTAGTGGGCAAAATCAAAGGCAGAGTGTTGAAAATATTTTGAGTGTTGAAAATATTTTTTATTTCTGCTATTTTCTTTCGACTTTATTCAATAATCATTGGTTACTTATGAACCTCTACTAAAGATACCTATAAAATATTTTGCTGAATATCCGAATTCTTCTATATCCTGGGATATAGACGGACATTTGGTTGGATATCCATATTGGATATCCCCAGAATATATTCTGTGGATATCTCTGGGATTTCTTGTATTGTCTGGAAGATACTCATTAGATATTTTGCTGGATATCCATATGATATCTTCTATATTCTGGATATAGACGGACATTTGGATATCCATATTAGATCCACGGAATATTTATGATATCCTGTGAATATATTGGATATCCACAAAAGATATTCTGAGTATATCTCTGGGATTTGCTGTATTGTCTGGGTTGACTCCATGACTCTCCATTTAGGTGTGGCTGACGATGAAGTAGTCACTTCGAAACCGGTCGCCAATAATTTGACTTTGTGACAAATAAAGGACCTTTCTTTACACGTTCCTACTCAGTTATTAAGATTAATTGATTAAATAAGTCATAGTTTACTAACTTGTAGTAGGCCCGGGATTTTCTCTTTCTTCGGCAAATGCTAATTCAAGTTGTAAATTTTTGGTATTAAGCTTTGGTTCATCTTCAAATTTTACCCATGAGTTAGTCTTTGGTTTTTGTTTCACCTCTTCATCTTCGTCGAATGTTTCCCATTCTTCTTTTAAACTTTCATAATTATGTTTCTCATCCTTATGTTCATTGTCAAATGATTCCCAATTCTCAGGTGTTTTGGTATTTTTACTACTACTACTGGGTTCGGAAATTTCCTGAATATTTGGTTCTTTAGGAGTAGATATTTGATGCTTTTCTATGGTTACGTTACTTCCTGTACTATTTTGCCTCTTAATTTGAAGTTCTCTAGAGTTTTTAGAGAGGATATCTTCTTCATCGTCTGGATTAGACTAAAATAAAAGCTAGCAAAAGTATTTACCAATCAGTGCAATATTTAAGAATGTTGTCTTAACAAGGAGAATATATCGCACTTCCGGTGCAACGTCATAAGTGCAAAAAATATTAGAAAGTGACTTTTTAGTCACAAAATACGCCTGATCTGCTTTTACATCTGGTACAGCAATGTGGTAAATATAACATAACCAAAAAAATGAGCAATTATTCAATCATTTAACTTTTAATACATTTCAGTTTATGGCATTGTAAAAAATTGATTTTTGCATTTACGACGTTGTTGCACCGGATGTACGATATGCTCTTCATAATCAAGTGTTATTTTTATTTGTTTACGATATTGTACATGATTTTTTCTAACTGTAACATACATGGTGTTTCATTGGTAAATGTTGGTAAATAATGGTAACTGCATATGGGGGTCACCTAGGTGGTTCCAAAAAACCCATACTTCATGGGTCTGTCGCCCTTTATAACCGAGATACAGGGCGTTTGATCAATTTTGCCGATTTCTTTCTAGGCTCATAACTTTTGAAACACGCTGTATATTTTTTGATATTTGGCATACAAGTACAACTTAATTTGTCAAATCCAATGACGTATTAATAATAGGGAAAATGCAGGTCCGGATTAACAAAAAAATTATAAATTCTTCGATACCTAAAACAACACTCTGTATATTATAATTTTGAATATCTGTTTACGGATTCGAAAAGAGCAGAAAAAACTTTAGTTACACCAAGTGGTTTTGGTATTTCCGCATACATTTTTCTTACTTATTAATTTGAGTCAAATCTAAGTGTTTCGATAAAAAGATAAATAAAATTAAAAAAAAAAAATATGTTTTTCCTAATTAAGTATTTACTTTTCCAGTTTAAATTAATAATAATAATTAACCTTATTCATTCTTTTAATTTTTGAATCTCAATCTTTTAAAAAAAACGCAACGACAGGTCTGTATTGGGTATAAAATTCTTAAAATTCTAATTTCAATACTATCTTAAACGCCCTGTACTTGTAACGACAGTGTGGTAATATTTGTTAAAAACGTAAAATATTATACATATAAGAAAAGGTGAAAAAATCTCACATTTCGAAAAAAATCACAATTTTGCTTTGAGACACATTTAGGCGGTAATCATTACAAAATATTATTTATTATAAAAAAGGAACTAAAAACAAGTAAGAAATAATTATGTAAAAAAAATTTAATAACACAACGAAAATAAAAAAAAAAAATAAAGAAATAACTATAACAGTTGCTCAAAGTGGCCACCGTTTTGTTCAAAACATTTCTGAGCTCTTTTAGTGAGATTTCGTATTGCTCTAGTAATCATAGCGGGATTATTTCTCAATTCTTGGCAGGCATCCTCGATTCTTTGAAGAAGTTCCTGTATAGTGTTTACATCAGATGAATACACTTTCGACTATAAATAACCCCAAACATGATAATCGATTGGGTTAAAGTCAAGTCCCCTTGCAGGCCAGTTGTGAGGTCCACCTCTGCCCATCCAATGATTTGGAAAGTTATCGTTCAGAAAGTTTTCTCAATGCTACCCTGAAATGAGGTGAAGCCCCATCATGTTGAAAGTACATTCCTGCAATGTCAATACCTGCATCATCTAGAAGTATGGGTAAAACATCTTGCAGGAATTCTAAATAAACCTCACCAGTTAGTCGATGTGGTAAAACATGCGGTCCAATTAATCGACTGTTAATAACACCACACCAAATATTAACAGAAAATCTTATCTGTGAGTATGTTTGTCTTATGGCAAACGGATTTTGTTCGGCCCAAATATGAGCATTTCTTGAATTATTAATACCGTCTCTAGTAAACTGAGCCTCATCGGTAAATAAGCACCTGTGTAATATTCGATTGTTTCTCAATATCCACCTACTAAAAGCCAGTCGATGAATTTCATCTCCTTCATGCAGCCTCTGCACTTGTTGTAAATGGTATGGATAGAGATTTTTTTTTTCAATCTTCGCCAAACGGTTGACGGAGGAACATTAATGGCGTCACTGATTCTTCTCGTGCTGATTTTTTGGGTCGTCTTGGATCATTTCTAGAATATTTTGCTCCAAACCAATATGTTGACTCTCATGTTGTTCATTTCTTTTGAGGTTGGGAATTTACCATGTCTTTTTAAGGTAACTAAATACATTAGAAAATGTTTTGTCATTTGGTAACCTTCGACCAGGAAATCGGCGTCCATATTCCCTTCGGGCAGCTTTTCCATTACCATCACAGAATCCATACACATACAACATATCTGCATATTCATTATTTTCAAATTTATGGGACATATTGAGTAAGAAATTATCGAATATCACAAGTACAAATTCGCAAATTATGTTTCCCTGACAATAATACACAGAACTGTCAAATTGTTTTTTATTATACTACAGCCTTCTTGACTATTACTAAAAATAGGCCTTTTCATCACAATTTTTTTTTTGTGCTCACGCGTCAGTATCAGCCATCTTTTTCGTACTGTTTTTTGTTAACAAGCATGTTAAAATGTCCACGTGAAAAAAATTATAATCGATAAATATTAATTTTAAGTATATTCGTTTAAAAAAATGGGATAAAAAAACGTAAAGTAATAAGTGTCTTAATTTAAAAATCAATTTTTGCAATCAATTAATTATGTTATCAATACGGAAACGAAAAACTAAACGGTATTGTTATGAGTATGTAAAAGTGACGGTATAAATTAATATTTTATAAAAAGACTTGCCTGCAATATCATAAAAAACTATCAAATTAGGCAAAATACATATTAAAAACATGTTCAAAATGAGCTTATGAGTGAAAAAAATGTGGTCGAAGGGACAAAGGTTTTCGATCGATTGATGGATGATGTTAGGTACTAAAGATACTTATATTTGTTCACTACATTTTCATGGAGAAATTGGTTCAACAGAAGAAAATCCTTGTCCGGTATTACACAATATTTTTTAATATTAAATACTACTTCGGTATACACAGTAATATTATTAAAAATGTCATGTTGATCCTTAAAATTTTAAATAATTTATCTTATTAATTATACTCGTGCTTAACTTTCATGTTAAAGTGTTTTTGCAATTATTAATAGTTGGTTGGCATAATTAATTAGAATAGAGTTATAATTATTATTTGTTTTCATTAATTTTTTACCCAGTTAATATTGAAACCTAACCTCTCAATCACACTTTTTTTTCCTTCTTCCGAACGTCCACGTCACTTCAAGAACCTTTTTTAATTGCTCAAAACTATGTGCTTCCACAGAGTTATAAAAATGTAAATCACCATCAACGATTTTTTTCTAATGATTGATTTGTAAAGTAGAGATAATATTGCTTTTCCAGCCATTGTTGATCAAAACAGTACGAAACTTTTGAATTGGCGCTATTTCAACATGGCGGCTGCGCTTGCGCTCATCACATGATGGAAAGGTCTATCCAACTTAAATGGTATTGTTCCTGAAATAAACAATACTTACTAATAGAAACCATAGTATTTAATTACTTTTTTATTATTGCATCCGAAGAATTAAGAAATGAACGAGTTTTAAATAAAATATTAGTTAGAAATATGTAAAGGAATTTATACATAATACATATTAATTTTCCATTATTTTTAACAATTAAAATTTAGAATTATTTCGCAGATTAGTGTTTTGAAGCAAAGGTTCGAAATGTGAGTGTATTTTCATTATTTACTTAAAATTTTAATTGTTTTAACAAATATTACCATAATTTCACATACAGAGCGTTCTTAATTTAGTCATTAAATTAGAATTTTTTCTTCAATACGGACCTGTCGTTGAATTTTTCAATAAAATTGGATTAAATAATCAAGAGCAAGAGGTTGACGATTTTCTCAGTTAAATCTCGATAAGTCAATAATTAGGAAAAAAAAATTTTAATTTTATTTCATCTTTTTATCGAAACACTTAGATTTGACTCAAATTAATAAGTACTAAAACCACTTGGTGTAACTCAATTTTTTCTGCTCTTTTCGAATTTGAAAACAGATATTCAAAATTATGATGTACAGGGTGTTGTTTTAGGTATCGGAGAATTTGTAAATTTTTTGTTAATCCGGACCTGGATTTTCCCTATTATTAATACGTCACTGGATTTGACAAATTAAGGTGTACTTGTATACCAAATATCAAAAAAATATTCAGCGTGTTTCAAAAGTTATGAGCCTAGAAAGAAAACGGCAAAATCTCGGTTATAAAGGGTGACAGACCCATGAAGTATAGGTTTTTTTTGAACCACCTAGGTGATCCCCCATATGCAGTTAACATATGCCCATTTACCAATGAAACACCCTGTATAAAGTGACATTTTTTTTAATGGCAGCAAGTGTCAAAATGATCTACTTTACGCAACTACCCAGACAGCTCACCAAATCCTTTGGATATCTACTGAACATCCCAATATCCACTGAATGTCCAGTCCATGGTGGATATCTATTTTTATATCAATGAAATGTAATTTATAGACATGCAAATGTCCATAAATAATAGTAATTATATAGCAAATTATTAAAAAATTACGCCATTGTGGCTAATAGTACCATTCAGATATTTAAAATTAATTTTTTTAAGGTGTATTCAATATCCCATGGACATCCACTAAATAATCAAAGTCTAGGCGCGAACGCAAACCATCAAGGATATCCACTAGATGTAATTTTTTGATTTTGCTTACTAAGTATAGATGGGCGATACTACTTTCGCATCTACTCATGCTCAACCCGCCGTAATTGAGTTCGATCGAAATTTGTTTCACAATCAGACTCCACTAGAGACTGGAGTCGAGAATTTCCATTTATTGCTGAAGAGTCCTAATAAGGATGACTTTCTCCTTAGTGGGCAAAATCAAAGGCAGAGTGTTGAAAATATTTTTTATTTCTGCTATTATCTTTCGACGTTATTCAATAATCATTGGTTACTTACTAAAGATACCCCACTTATAAAATATTTTGTTGAATATCCGAATATCTTCTATATCCTGGGATATAGACGGACATTTAGTTGGATATCCATATTGGATATATTGAATATCCACAAAATATATTCTGTGGATATCTCTGGGATTTCTTGTATTTTCTGGACGATACCCATTAGATATTTTGCTGAATATCCATTAGGATATCTTCTATATTCTGGATATAGACGGACATTTGGATATCCATATTAGATCCTGTAGATATATTGGATATCCACAAAAGATATTCTGTGGATATCTCTGGGATTTGGTGTGTTGTCTGGGTAGTTGTATAATGTTGAACATTATGAAACTGGTTTCGAAAAATTCAATGTCACAAATTGACCAGTTGCGAAAATAAAATAAATAAAAATAAACCATTATTATTATTATTTTTAAATCAATAATATATATTATTATTGAAAGTTTATATCAAAGAAGTGGAGGTTGACTTATAAAAATAGAATTTGGTTGAAATTATAACCTATAGTAATAATGTTGTTTTGGTCCTTATTTCCCATTATAAATCAGCACAAAATAATTAAAGGTCTGTTCTAACAATGATCACAAACCAGTCACTGACACCATGATTCTGCGCATTAGATAATTTAGCGGTCTCAATAATCTACTGCGCAGAATCTTAGTGTCAGTGACTGGTTTCTGATTATTCTTGGGACAGATCTTAAAACGCAATACACAATAAAATAACTCACTTTTTTGAAATTTATCAATAAAAGAAATAAGTTAACCATATGCAATTAACAATACAAGAAAGCAGTAATATTGGTTGCCTAGATGCCAGTAAATTTTGCTTATCCCGTAAATATTCACTCATTACATAAGATAAAGTATTTCGTAACTGGTTTCATAAATAGCTATATTATGTCCTACAAATCAACATTAAAAAGTGATCTTTGTCTAGTCACTTCTATAAATTGTAAAAACAATAAAAATTAATAGCATACGGCGCTTCTGATATATACACTAATATTCTATCTACTGCCAAACACATTATAGGTATAATATATCCTTTATTTTTTAACAACTCTAGTTTAGTAAAATTTCAATTTGGTCAATACTTACCGATACATAATTGTAAGCATTTCTTTGTTTCGACTTTAAGTACTGAGGTTTCTTAAATACTAAGTTGCAAACTAGGCCCTGTAAAATAACAGCTTGGTACCATAATATCACGTTAAATAGGTTTGTAGCAAGAATGGTATGTCCTACTACAATGGGAGCTATGACGAATCCCAGAGCTGTTACTGCTTGAGATATGTTGACTAGGAGACCATGCTTCAGTCTAAAGTACTGGGCTAACAATATTTCGCATTGTGATGTTTGAATTGATGCACCAACACCTTAAAATAAAATAAGACAATTATTAATTAAAAATAATTTTAACAATACTTATAAGGGGGTGGGTTGGCTCAGTGGTTAGAGTCATGACTTTGAGATCGGAAGGTCTCAGGTTCGAATCCCACCGTTGGCCGGAATTTTTTCATTTAATTTAATTATTTAAAATTAATTCTGATGCCTTGGTAGGATTCCCCACTAAACCATTCACTGTTGGGTTCTAATTAACAGTGCTGTTCCTAAAGTGGCGCTGGGAAACAGTAACAAAGCCTACACAGAACATTAGGCTAATGGCCGTAGAAGTCGACGCCGATGACACCAAATTAAAAAAAAAAAAAAAAAAAACAATACTGATAATATTGTGGGGTACTCTGTAACTCGTTTTCACTTAGTCTTTATTATCAACTGTAAGAATGATCTGAATATCACTTTAAGAAGCTAAACTGCCTCTAAAATTCAGTACACTTTTAGGAAGGACATTGTGCCATCTAGTAAATTATGGATATTATTGAACTTATGAACTTATAGTCTATCCTGCTTGGACTTAAGAAGGATGTATGAGCCACTATATTTAAATATTTAGAGAAATATAATACATAAAACATTGTTTAAATTATATATAGTGGGTGGGTGCCTCAGTGGTTAGAGTTTGAGCTTGCGAATTCAGATGTCCGGGGTTCGAATTTCACCGTTGGCGTTGGCCGGTATTTTTTCTAATTAAACATTAATGCTGATAGGTATACAGGTAGGTTTCCTCACTCGACTATTCACCGTTTAGTTTTAATTAACAATGTTGTTCCTAAAAGTGGCGCTATGAAACAAGGGCGTAACTAGGTTGTTTTCTTGGGGGGGGGGGGGGGGGGGGGGGGGGGGGGGTAACACTTTTAACATCATTGGTGAATGCGCTGCGTGTTATCTTAGAATACATGGTACCAATGCAACGTCTAGAGTTCATATGTGTATTTCCAGAAAAAAAGTAAGTTTTATAATGAAGTTTTTTAATTTTTTTTATATTCATACAGGGTGTTTCAGAATACAGTACCGTAATTTTGGGGATTTGTAGATCTTAATCAATTATAAAGAAAAGCTAAATATAATTTTCCTATAAACGTCTCAGTTTTCATTCTACAGGGTGATAAAGTGAATTTCATAAATACATATTTTCTAAATAGCTTCCCTTACACTAAAGACTTTAACTTAAAAATATGTATATGATAGGTAATCGTCATTATTAGTTAACACACTATTTCGATAAATTACCATAACCCATTGACGTAGAATGAAGGGCTAAAGAAACAATTTTATTGAAAACTTTTTGAACACCCTACATTTCATAAAACTTAAGATTAATAAATATTTGTCTCGCCATTTGTCACAAAAAAGGGACTTCTGGGTTGATCTTTGTAGACTATTATTCCATTTCCGAGGTGATAGAACTGATTTATTTTATACAGTGTTTTGAAACATGCATGTCTTAAATATGGCTAATTTTTAGTTCAATTTACTCAATTTTGTCAAATAAAACACACTGTATATTATTTTCGCATAACATTCCTTATAAATTTACCTATCCAACGATACCAACATGTCCCAATAGTACGTAATTGATCGATACCTGTTTTATTATTGGAAATAGGAAAAACAAATTATTATAAAAGTTGTATGACTATGTTTAATAAATATTCTTAAATATACAGGGTGGTCCATAAACGAGGGGATGACCAAACTTATCAACTTATAATTTTTATATTTGTTTTTATATCGTCAAATAACTTTAATAGACTTCATTTATTTGCTATGTTGTATATAGGGTGTTTCAAAATGAGGGGTAACGATTTTCTCATTTTTTTTTTAAATGGAATACCCTATATGTCATACCACCAATTATATATAATTACCTCACGTTTTAACACACCCTATATACAACATAGCAAATGAAGAAGTCAATTAAAATTGTTTGACAATGTAAAAACAATCAAATATGTATTACTACCTGCAGTGTATTTTGCTTTAAAAAAGTATAGATTTGGTCAGCACCTTGTTTATGGATCACCCTGTATATTTAAGAATATTTGTTAAATATGGTCATACAACTTTTATATTAAACATTTCTTCGTATTTCTAATAATAAAACAGCTATCAATCAATTATGCACTGATGGGACACCCTGTATATATGTTATTGACTAACACATTGGTATTGTTACATGGGCAAATTTATAGGGAATTTTATGCGAAAATAATATAGTGTGTTGCATTTGAAAAAATTGCGTAAATTGAACTTAAAATTAGCCATATTTTAGACATGTTTCAAAACACTCTGTATAGAATAAACCAGTTGTATCACCTCTATTCGTTAGCTTGGTATTTTCTTAAGTCTGTATATTAAACAATTTTGAAATTAATGTTAACCTACCTAAATTATGATAATTTAATTTAGAGTCTGCATCATTCTCTAATTAAAAAAAAAATTAATTGTTTGGTAACACTAATATTTTTAAAAAACATACTAGGGTTAAATACAGTATTCCCAAGCCATTCTAAAAATAAAATAAAATATAGGATTTTCTATTTAAAAAACATACATTTTTATTTGTTAGGCAAAAACGCAACACCCGGTATACCCAAAAATATTTTTAAAATATGTATTTGTCAAATCTATATGGCATTTATTAAAACTTGTTTGCTTAATAATAATAACACAAATTGAAATATTGAACAATTACGAACTAATAGGACCCTGTATATAAATTTTAATTTTCAATTTGCAGGAATATTATTATTTTAGATGACAATGGGGTCTATTCTGTAAAAATTCCTTTATATTTAACGGCCTTTAAAAATATTTTCTTCTTTAATTCGGTCACTATTTAAACGGATCTTTAAAATACATTAGAGGAGTATCTTAAAGAAATCTGTTTAAATAATGATAGAAGTAAATTAACGAATACGAACATATTTTTATAGGCCGCCAATATTTTTAAAGGCCGTTAAATATAAAGGAATTGTTACAGAATAGACCCCAAAGGGGGCTATTCTGTAAAAATTCCTTTATATTTAACGGCCTTTAAAAATATTTTCTTCTTTAATTCGGTCACTATTTAAACGGATCTTTAAAATACATTAGAGGACTATCTAAAAGAAATCTGTTTAAATAAGGACAGAAGTAAATTAACGAATACAAACATATTTTTAAAGGTCGCCAATATTTTTAAAGGCCGTTAAATATAAAGGAATTGTTACAGAATATACCCCATTGGGGGTCTATACTATGGAGTACTAGCAACTAGCACTCCATAAGAATAACATATACTCACAGTATGTCCACTTAAGTTTGCAGCATATGGGAAACTTTTTTATTATTAATATTATTAACTATGCAAACAAGTATTAGAAATTAAAAATGAAAAAAAAAACCGACTTCAAAAACGTGCAGATGCCATCACCACATCTTAAACAAATTTATATGGGACCACCCCTGAGGTACCCCCTTACTAACAAAAAAAAGAATCACATAAATCGGACAAGGTGGTAAAGCATTATCGCTAAACATAAAAAATGAAGAGTTTGAGAATTTTCTCATGGACCCAATTGTTAGATTTTGACCAAATTTATATGCGACCACCCCTGAAGTACCCACTTTCTAAGAAAAAAAGAATCATTGAAATCGGACACCGTGTTAAAGAATTATCGCTGAACATACATAAAAAAAAATATTGCGACGAATTGAGAACCTCCTCTTCCTTTTTTGCAGTCGGTTAAAAAAAGTTATTCTTCCGTACTCAATATTTTTGATAACTTTATAGGAAAAACTTGAGTTGGAAGATCATATTTTAAACATTGAAATTCTATCGAAAATTGATATTTTTGTTTATATAGGTACCAGGCAATCGCAAATATTTTATATTCCTTTTTGATAGAATTAATTAATAGTTGTATTCCTGGGATACTTTTAAATTGGCAAACTCTGTCGATAATCATATAATACCTATATTTTTATAATCATATAATACCTATATTTTTATTTAAGTACAAGTAAATAGATTTAAGCATATTTAAAAGATTCTTAGGACTTGACTGTAAATATAAAAATAAATAAAAAAGTATACTTTGCATTTTGAACACAGAAGACCCAAAATTCTTTAGGTTTCGCTAAAATGTATGGATATTTTTCGAATTTGTTTAAAAAAAAGTGTTCTTTACGAATATAGAAAACATTTGAATCAATTTTTAGTTTTACGTAGAATTTCAAATTTTCCCGCCTTACGTTGACATGTACTTCCGACTTCCGGGTCATAAAACGCTGAAAAAAAAGGTCATCTTTTTTAATTTCCTGCTCGATGAAATTGTCATTCACCGTGTGCTGTATCTATTATCTATTTCAATGAGGTTTTTATAGATTATACCTACCTCCATAATCTATTTATATTTTATATCATCTGCATTCTACTATTCTACACCTAATCAAGACAAAACAGAAGTCAAAAATATATTGTGGTCAAAACACAGATAAATTAATGTGACATATTTATTTAGGTATCTATGGGTCAAAATAATTGTGAATTTGTAAAACGTGAAACTCTTATAAACGCTGGTGGTCGTGGGAATTGGACTTATTAGAGAGATTATATTATTTGACGAGATTAGATAAAAATATAAAATTATTTACCACATGCAATTCCGGCTAGCGAAAACAAAACACTCCCACCATATTCCGTTAAACCCATCCACAAAAACAAAAGGCCTGCGCAGGTCAAACAGGTGCCGGCAGTTGCAACAAGTCTTGGCCATGTGCTCGAAGAAATAAGAGATCTGGAAGTTGGATCTGGAAGTGAAAGAACAATTAACATTTTTAGGTATTTATAAATTTTTGTTTATTAAAAATGAATCAAAATAATTTATATGTTTATATTTGGGTCTAGATTTCAATGTTATTATATATGTACGTATAATGAAAAAAATGTAATTTGAGACGATGTACCTATAAGAGAGTTTCAAGTTTAGAATAAATGTGCCAATTTAATCGATATTTCAACTTGTGACAAACACAAAAAAGATTAGAAATACATGTTAATTTTTTTTCAAGGATGACACTTTCGATGAATATTTTTAACCTTTCTGGTGTAGTGTGCCTTCCTGGTTCAACCCTTAGGAGGGATAGATGTTACCCTTAGAATCTAAAATGGAACACATAATGTTAAAGATAATTTGGAGAACTCAAGAACTCAACAATGTGACTATTCATTGCATTACTTTTTTATTTTGTATTTAAAATTAACTCAATTGATAGTCATATTGTTGAATTCCCTGTAAAATTATGACACAAATGAATCCTAAATGGAAAGAGTAACACATCATTTGAATGGTAATTTTTTGGAGAATTCAACAATACGACTATTGTGTTAATTTTAAACTCAAAAGTATCACAATTAATAGACATATTGTTGAATTCTCTAAATTATCTTTAAAACTATGTATGCCATTTAAGATCCTAAGGGGGTTGAACCCTGAGAGCTAACAATTTTCACTGAAAGTGTTACCCTTAAAAATTAAATTGAATTTGACTGAACTAAGAATAATTTTGTGACAATTAACTCTACAAATAAACAAGTTCCACCTACATTGCCATTAGTTGCCTACTGGTCTGATCAGTTCGTATTTGGTCGTATGCAATTCAGTATGAACTGGGAACTTAGATATTCAATAAGTTTGTTTAGCACAAGAAACCACTGCAAATTTTAGCCGTCATCTGATAACAAAATAAAATATGCCCTAAAGGCATGTAAAAACATTGTATTTTATCAAATGGCACCTGTGCCAATCACTATCCTGAGCAAAGTAGTTAAAAAATACAAATGAAGATAGAATTTAATACATACATATGGTTGTATTCTGAAGTTTTCCGGAAAATAACATATTCAAACATTTCTTGAGTACACTGTTGAAGGAAAACACTTTCTTACCCTTAATATCGTACAAAAGACATCTATCCATGATTAATAAAAACCATTAATATGAATCATTTTTTGCTGATTTGAAGATTTATTTGTACACTTGTGATTAATTTTTACAGGTTGTCAAAGAAACGACAAAAAATTGTGATTATTATTATATTTTTTTCGTTTGCATCGAAAGTGTAGCACTGAACTATGCCACTACTGAAAATATCGTTCCATTTATACAAATTGTATGGATGGAACGATATTTTCAGAAGTGACATAGCTCAGTGCTACACTTTTGATGCAAAGGAAAATACCTAATATTTCCTTCATTTACCTAATTTGCTAATATCACAATATACACATTTAGTAAAATACATGTCAAAACATAGATAATACAAATACGATTATAACTAACTAACCTTGCTACTATTTCTTGAGAAATGTATTAATGAAATAATATGTGACCTGGATTTTAAATATAGTTACAGAATTTACAGATTTAATTTTCTCTGGGAGCACGTTATAGAGGTCTAGACCTATAAAAAATAGTGAATTTTGAGTTTCACTTTTAACAGCAGTTTCAATATAAAAGTTATTTCTGTTCTGCATTGGATAACTGTGAACATCATTAAGCATCTCTTTTAGGTACATCGGAAATAACCCATGTTTGATTTTATAAATAAAAATTAATGTATTCCTTGATAAAAGACTTGATTGGCATCCAATTCAAAGTTTCAAGCATTAGATTAATGGGAGTATATTTTGAGCAAGAATTGCCCTATTCTGCAGTCAGTTTGACTCATTTTGATTTAGAAAAAAGAGTATTGTAGCACAATAATTAAAGTGAGGTAGAATGATAATGTTATATATAATACATTTAGACTATTGTGATAAGCCAGATGAACTTCTATATAGGAAATTTAACTTAAATGCAGTACTTTTGATGACATATATGTGAATTTATCTGTTTGTCAGTCATTACTCCTAAGTATTTGAATTTGTCTACTAATTATATAGAATTTCCTCCAATTGTGATGTTATATTGTTTTTCAACAAATTGCACATTTTTCAGAGTTTCATTAACAACTTTAACTAAGTTAATCTGGATCCATACAAGAAAATTGTATAAGGGATCATCAGCAAACAGGTGAATGTAACATTGACCCTTGACATCAACAATGTTATTAATATAAACTAAAAATAGCAGATGCTTTCCTGTAGAACTCCTTTGTTACTATATTTAATATCTTTTTTTTTAACAAAATTATATTTCCAATCATATAAAACACACTGAATAGCTGATTCGCAGTTATGCTTGCTTATGAAGCCCGATTGTATTCTAGTAATAAGTTTAGTATGTTCTAAAACATTGACAATTTGTTCACAAATGACCTTAAGATTTTTTTTGATACAACATAACATACTAATAGGTCCTAAATCAGTAGCTTTATTTGCCTTTTTTTAATTTAGGAATTTTAGGGACTACCATAGCAATTTTTAAAACATCCAGCTCCGTATAGACCATATTTTTATGAGAAAAAATGTAGAAATAAATAATCTAGCCCAAGATGCTTTTGTAATAGATACAGATATCACAGATCAATTTCCTATATTCTTAAATATCCATCTAAAAAATGGTAACAATACTGTAAACATAAACGATAATATAGACAAAAAAACTGTTCAGATATTTGATGATGACAAATTCGGAGACAAGATAAGTTTAGTAAATTGGGGAAATGTTTTTGCTCAAAATGACCCAGAATTCACTTATCAAACTTGTATTGATTCCTTTAAGACCATATACGATGGTTGCCTTCACACTAAAATAATAAATTCAGTTAACTGCAAGAAACTTAAACCTTGGATCACTAGCGGTATAATCAAATCTAGTAAACAAAGAGGTAAATTAAAAAGACTTGTAATTGGAAATAAAAATAATGTTAATTTATTACAAGAATATAAAAATTATAGAAATAATCTTAACAAATTAATCCAAATTACGAAAAACACGTACTACAAGAATCAAATTAAAGAAAATATCAATAATATGAAAAAAATTTATGAAATAATTGCTCATGCCACAACTGAGAAAATAAATAAAAGGGTTGTAATTAACTGAACAGTATATAATTGATTATGTACAGTATAAATATTACAAGCAGTCAGTAAAATATTGTAAAAGACTCAGTACTTTTATAAAATATGATGAGTACAATGAATTTTGGAGCAGTAAAATTTTTATTTGGCCTGTATTTCTATGTTCACTTTTGTAACTATAATGGTCAGTAAAAATTAATGAAATGTCAGTATGAATTAGCCGGTAATAATTCTACAAATGGTCAGTAAAAATTAATAAATGGCCAGTATGCAGCAGTCGGTAATAATTTTAAATATGTGCATTAAATAAGTAGTATTATGTTTTTAGATCGAGTGTTTCATGTTTTTGAGCTACCGGTTTGCAGCAAAGAAGAAACTGAAGATTTTGTTTTCTGTTTAAAACAATTAAGTCTGCCTGTTAGGATATATTTCAAAAATCAATTGCCCCAAAATACACTCCCGTATCGGAGACAACACTAATGATTTGTAATTGAGGTGGTGGGTATGTTTGTGTGAATGGGTCTTGTTTGTTTTCATTTACTAGCAGTAGTATTTTATAAACCATAGAAGCAAATTTCACATACATGAACAAATAATATTAATGCCGTGACAACAAGAAGACAAAGCAAAGACTTCTCGTACCAAAAAATTTTAATCCATACCTGGCTACGCCGACCGGCATAAACACCAACGGCCTGGACACAGCTCACCTACTCTGTCAAAAGGAGACCGATGTACAAATAAAACGCGTATTATTATACTGACCATTTATTATTTTCACCGACCATTTAATATTATACTGACCATTTATTATTATACTGACCATTTATTATTATACTGACCATTTATTATTATACTGACCATTTAATATTTTCACCGACCATTTAATATTGTACTGACCATTTATTATTTTCCCTGACCATTTATTATTTTCCCTGACCATTTATTATTTTCCCTGACCATTTATTATCTTACTGACCAACTGAAATAAAATAATGGAAAAGTGTACTTGCCATAAAATTTAAATAATGATCATTTAAGCCGTAAAGAAAACCAACAATAATATAAGTATATCAAATAGTAATAATGAACCCTTTAGAGACGATACCAAAATGGCTAATTTCTGTAATAGATTTTTTGTAGATGTAGGAACTGACATGTATGCAAAAATTAAACAACCTAACTACCAGAATAATGTGAACTACCCCAATTTTGTACACTCCATGACTTTAAAACCTGTTTCCAATGAAGAAATAATTTTGCATATTAACAGCTTAAAAAATAACAGCGCACCATGCTATGATGGCATTACATCAAGGCTAATAAAAAAATATCACAAACTTCTTTTAGATCCCCTAGTCCATATAATAAACAGAACTTTTGTAACCGGTATAGTACATTTTAAAATATCAACAATCACTCCAATTTTCAAAAAAGGTAACAAAGCCAATATTACAAATTACCGACCCATAAGTGTTACCTCCAATTTTGCTAAAATTTTTGAAAAATGTTTAAAAAATAGATTATTCAATTATCTTACTTCTGTTAACATATTAAGTAAAAATCAATTTGGATTTATACCTGGAATTAGTACTAATGATGCCATGTACGAACTCATAAATAACATTAAAAATGGACTAGACAATTATGAGAGGGCAATTGCAATTTTCCTTGATCTTGCAAAAGCTTTTGACACGGTACCTCATAGACAACTCATTGAGGTTCTTGAACAATATGGTGTTAGGGGTATTGTGTTAAAAATTTTCATAAGTTATTTAAAAGAGCGTAAACAGAAAGTAAAAATTAAAAATGTGTATAGTGATTCTTTAGATGTTAAAATTGGAATACCACAAGGCACTGTACTTGGTCCTCTTCTGTTCATTACCTACATTAATTCATTACTAAATTTAAATATAACTGGAGATTCCATTTCTTATGCAGATGACACAGTGCTACTTTTTAAAGGAAAAACCTGAGAAATTGCCGGTTTTGAAACAGTTAAATGCTGGCTTGATTTTAGTAAATTAACCTTGAATGCCGACAAAATATTTTACATAGCCTTCTCTATGAACGATGCAAATATACCTAGTTTTAACTGTATTAAAATGAACGAATTTGATATTACCATTAAAGAAACTAATACAATAAAGTACTTAGGCATTAGAGTCGATAAAAATCTGAAATGGAATGACAAAGATCTGACAAACAAAATTAGGCGCTTAATACCAAAATTTTATTGTGTTCGCAAAATCTTATCTAAAAAACTACTTATACAAATTTATAAATCATTAGTAAAATCGCTCCTAAGATATGGTATCATTGCCTGGGGAGGGCTCTATGACAATGTATTAAATCAATTGAATGTTGTCCAAAACTATATTTTACGTGTAATATTTTTTAAAGACAAACTTTTTACAACTAACCTATTATATAATCATGATATTCAATGTCTTTACTACCTTAGCAACTGTATATATGTCTTTAAATCTAAAAACAAAAATTATATCAATCATCACTACCAAACAAGACATAATCTTAATAACATGATCTTGGCACCATTTAGAAGATATGATGCCAACCAGAGATTTTCTGGAATCATGGTACCAAAAATTTTCAACATACTACCATTGAAGATTCGAACCACAATTGGGTATAAAAGGTTTGTTGAGCAATGTAAAATTTTTATTTCTGAGAAAAGAGAATACATTGCTCAACTTTTGTAGTTTGTAAGTATACTTATATTTATTTCTCTAAATTCAAGAAATTATTTTAATTTGTTAATTATTCTTTTATGTTCCTCTTTTTCATATTTTTTGCCATTACCATATTATATAGTTCAGAGTAACTTTAAATTAATTATATTGTTATATTTTATGTTATATTTTACATTTCGTTCTTGCACATACAAGTGTTAAGTCACTTAGGTGCATTTATTAGTACAAGCCTAAGTTTTTGTTTAATATTATGTTGTCACATCATGTATATTGTATATAATTAAATTGAATTGAAATTGAAAAAAAATTGGTATTTTTGATATTTCTAAGGAGGAATTTATCAAATTTAAAAGGGGTTCTGAGAGGTTGGAAAAACAGTTTTTTAAAATAACAAGGTTAATATATTTTTATGATCACATTATTTTCTAGTTCAAGTTCGATTAAATCATTTGATTTATTATTTTTTGGGAGCTGACATTCAACCACATTTCCTTGGAATTTTCTCTACTTTCGTTACAACTTGTATATCCCTTAATATCTATTTTTGAATCACGATAATGAAATAATCATGATTATGGTTTAAAAAAATTGTCTAACAAGAGTTTATAAGTATTATTATTATTGACTATATGTGGCTGTGGCAAATGGTTTATCCAATGCTCTTCTTCCTTTCACATACACACATGGTTTAATAGGTTTAGTCAAAACTATTAATAATTCAGGTTTAAAAGCTATGTACATAATTAATTGGGATTGTAATTTTCAGACCCGTTGGCCTAAGCAATAACGCAAATACTAGGCGAATACCCATCTTTTAAAATCTCCCGATTCCCACCAACGCAAAATACAACACTAAAAATTACTGTTTTGGGAGCGCTAAAAGTGTGAATTCGAACTCCAATTTTTAATAAAATTCTAGGGAGGAACCCAGACAGTTATGTGTCAGGACCCCATATATCCCTGATAGGAAATACATTATTTTAACCTCTTTGTTAAGGATAATGATTCGGACAGGTGCCGTTTGGTAAAGTACAATGTTATTACATCATGCCTTTGGAGCATAGGTATTTTATTTCCTTATCACATGATAGCCGAAATTTGCTGTGTACTCTCCTACTTTAGTTTAATGCCTTTGAATTATTATTTTAAAAATAATTGAAAAAATTTCATAGTTTTTTTTTTAATCTAGGAGGCCAGTTCTCCCTCTGTATATAGACCAATATGGTAATGAGTGTAGACATGAATAAAATGCAAAAATATATTCTATACTAGGCAATAAAGTTCTTTTTGTAATAACCTGCATTTCAACATTAAAATAATTGCTGACTGTTAACTAATAATGGATAATATTTGTTGAATGCTTATTTTTAATTGTAAACAAATAAATATTTAAGTACATGAATATTCAATAAGAATAGTTTTCTTATACAGAGTGTTTTATCATTGGAAATTAAGTGGCTTTGTCTATACACAAAATTTCTTCACTATTAATTTTTTAGAAAATTCCTAAAACATTATTTTTTGTCTATATAAAAGTCAGAAGAGTAGCTGTAGCTAACTCCTTCATATTTTTTTAATAGAAAGGTTGGACTTATTATACCTTATTTGAAAGGGAATTTTAATTCTAGATTCATCAGTATAGTAACTACTTACACTTTGTTTTATTCATATAAGAAGTATTGAGAATCCAAACATTTACAAAAATTTACATTACACTAAAGAACAATAACATTGTTATATCACAGTGTTGTTTTAAAAAACAAAAATTGATGTGTGTTAGGATTTTTATTAAAATATTATTAACATCACAAATGAATTACCACTGTTTATTGGTTATCGCTACTTTGCTGATCACTGTTTATTGGTTATCGCTACTTTGCTGATCACTGTTTAATTGTCCTCTGACTTGACATGTACTCAACATCTGAATTCATATTATGTTCATATCCTTACTTTCGAACAATGTCAAACTAGTTTGTTTTGGAATACATAGGTATATAGAATTGAATAAAGAATCCAAAAAAATTTATGAAATTCTGCTAATAAAGTATATAGAAGGTTTTTGTACACAAAAATAATCTTTCTGATGGTAGGTATTGTTATATAAATTTTCTTAAAAATATGTTTAGAATTGCCAAAGTGATTTAAAATATATTTTTTTAATTACATACTTATAGTACACGAAAAAATATTTGAAAATTCTAGTAGTATTTAAATAAAAATGTAAAAATACTGACCAAAAACTGTCCATGTAGTGATAAAAAACAACGGAGCATACATAAAGCTGTCGTCCCATAGTCTAGGGTTTGTATCACTTCTGTTTATAACTTTTAGTCTCGAAAATGCCAGAAATACTCCAAAGCTTACGGTCAAACTTGGTATCAGGGCCTGGAAGACAATACATTTTATTAAAAAAAAAAATCAAGTACATATCGGTGGCCTAGTCTACGAGGAGGCTGGTACACCTTATATACAAATATATATTTAATAATAATAATACTCTCCCTAATTCACCCCCTTACGAGTGAATTTTAACCCCAAAAGCTGAGCTTGTGCGGGGAAAGGGACGGCTATTATTATTATTTGCCGTGGCGCTCCGGGCGAATTAAAGATGATTGATGGTGCCATTTGACTTACAGGTAGTGCATGGTGTTTTTTATTTTAACAATCTGGATGTCATATCAACAAATTAAATTTCTGCTAATATGGCATCCATCAAATCCTATAGGATCTGAAACCGTGTCTCGTTTTACCACCACCGTAGTCTATTAGAATACAATGTAATATTTCTGCTTTTTGTATTCTAATAGAAATATATATATTTGTATTAAGTATATATTTAAAAAGTAGCATCCGCAGCCTCCTCGTAGATTAGGCCACGAGCCGCCTCTGGTACATATATATCTAATAAATAATAGATTCATATTATTTACTATTAAAATATTAAATTCTTATGTATCGGGTGGGGCCACTTAAAAGTTCCTCCTCTTTATCTTCATTAATAGTTGAGATATCGGAAAATTAGTTTTTTGTTTTAAAAACTTGAAATAATTAGTTTCTTCTAATAGATTGTTATTCTGTGACATCATCTTACTTCTGCTTTTTTGTCGGAAATAATAGAAAATTGTCCCCATTTTTTAAGGAAAGTTTAAGATCTTCAAACATTCTTAAATGAGAATTGCATATTGGAAATTGTCCAAATAGTTTTATTATTATTATTTTTTGAATAAATAATAATGGTTTTCATCTAAAAAGGAATAAATTGCGATATATTCTATTATTTCCGGAAAAATCTAAAGTAGCCATGTTATCGCAAAATAATTGATTCCATTATGACAGTAGGTACTTATTCTTATTACAAACTTTCAAACAATTATCTCAATAATGAGCGGCTATAATGTTTATTCGGTTTACCAATAAAATTGCATCGATACGCCACTGCAGGGGCGCATATACACTGCAGGGAGGCAATGGGGATAATTGTCCCCCAAAAATTTTTAAACCTACCTTTTTATAGTTACTAAAAATGAATTACCAGAAATAGTCTTAAATATTACCACTACTGCCCCCCAGACTTAAACTCTGGTGGTCTAATTTTCAAGTCTCAATGGGAACTATGTTGCTTATAGAGTCATACATTCCGATTTTTTCTTACTCAAACGAATCGATAGATTTAGAAGTAGTAAATGGTAGTAGTATCCAATATGGCGGCCATTTTTACAGATAGATAATTTTCAATACACGATTCTTATCCAAATATGTTTTCAAAGTATTAAAATTTTCCATATAAAATGGATGGGGGTTTCTGTTTACAAATTAATTGCGATTTTTAGGTACTTATTTCCGAAACAAAACGAAATAAGCCATGAGGTATCAGAATGACTGAATCCATTATAAGTAAGGAAAAGTACAACTTAAAAAAAAGTTCATTCCGATATCTTAATTAATAATAAAGATAAGAGCAAGGAAACTTATAAGCAATTTATCAATTATAAAAATCTGATATGTCCAACACATGATTTTCCTGTCTAGTTATAGGGGTTTTCCGGAAATTTTTGTACAACCTATTGTATCACCTCTGTTAGTCTTTAGAGGATGAATTAAATACAAATATTCTCAACACACATCTTACTCTAAATCTTTTTTATATACAGAGTGACCCATATGAAAGCGAGCCACCCTCATAAATTTTTTATTTATAAAGAGATTTTAACGATTTTTTTCTGAAATGTGGAGGGATAAAGGAGTATTTTGGTGCCAATCGGCGTCCAATTTTTTTTTTAACCAAGGCCTACTAGATCACATTCAGAGGCTGAAAAATCCAGAATCCATATTAGCGATTATTTTAGAAAATATTCGCGTATGCCACTGGCGTCCTCTAAAATAGATCGGTACCAAGTTTCATGAAAAAATAATCAACATTAACGATTCTGGTTAAATTACTGACAAGTTGTTTATTATCCATTAAGAAGCTTTTTATCAAGTAACCCATGCGATAACAAAAATTAATAAATAGGTTTTGGTTAAAAAAAAAAAAAAAAAAATGAACGCCGCTTGGCCCCAAAATACATCCTCCCCCTCCACATTTCATAAAAAAATTCATCAAAATCGCTCCATAAATAACAAAATTAGGAAAGTGGCCCGCTTTCAAATGAGTCACTCTGTAAATTCATTGCCAACGAAAATAGTGAAAAATTAAAATTTACACTTATCCTCAAATTTTTTCATTTCGGTCCATTTTGGAGAAATCATGTATAGGACAAAAATTATAAAAAAACGATACCCTATTATAAAGTACCTCCAGATGCTTTGACTATGCCCAAAATTTAACCAGCTATACCGTTGAATGGATTAAAGCTTAAATTTAAAATTTTGTGTTTTTTCCCTTTATCTGTTTTTGAGTTATCTGCAGAATTCGAAATTTGCACTTTCCTCAAATATCCACTTTCCTCAAATATCTCGAAATCGTGTATAGGACAAAACTTATAGAAAATTACATCACAAGCAACTTTTATTTGACAAATTTTCGTCTCCGAGCTTAAGTAACATATATTCCATAAAGTAGAAAAACTACCCCTATAAAGTACCCCACAGATGTCCCGGCTATACCTGTAAGAGTATCGAAAATAAACAACTTGATTTTATAGAACAATACTTTTATATTAAGAACTAAGAATATAATATTTAAGAGAATGTTTCGCTTTGGTTCAGTTACCAATCGATACTACCCTACTTAACGTTTTCCAGGTTTTCCTATCCTAAGCTAAGCATATATTCTTAACATTAACGACTTATTTAATAGATTCCTTCCAGATGTCCCATAAATAACGTCTCAAGTATGTTGGGTTATCGTGTTACAGGTAAGGCTGGTAACCGTGATCGGTTAATCGCTTAACCGGTTCCGTAGGACCAAAAACCGTTAAAGAGCGTAACCGGTTTAACTGGACGAGGTTTAACCGAAACCGGTTTATAACTAGTGTAACCGTAACCGGTGTAACTCTAATCGAACCGATTAAACTGGTTTTAGCGAGACCGTGAACGTAAACGAACCAGTATAGTTGAACTTTTAGTAGGGATGTGCATATTTCTTAAAACGTCGATACTGACATCGAATGATATACCAAAAACAATATATAGATGGCATTAAAATGAAAAAAGTGAAAAAAACTATATTTATAAACATCGATGTTTTTAAAACTTATACATTTAAAAGTAAGTAAAACAAAGCAAAACTAAGAAAATTATTTTTTAATAAATTTACTCCACCGTTATCCAAAATATGCCACGATTAAGCCGGTGATGGTAACAGTTAAACCAGTAACGGATAAACCAGTGACGGGTTTAACTGGTCACGGTTACGGTTAAACCGCCGAATCCGGTCTAACCGGTCCGGTTCGACCGGTTCAGTGTGATCGGACCGGATAATCGGATCGGTTAACCGGATAATCTGACCGGTTAACCGGCTAATCTGACCGGTTAACCGGATAATCGGATGTCCGGACCGGTTAACCAAATATACGGACCGGATATCCGGACCGGTTATAATAATAGTAAAAATCCGGTTAAAACCGAAACCGGTCAAAATCAGTCGAACCGGTTAACCGTTTATCACGTCAGGAATTGACAGCCTTAGTTACAGGGCAGACCAGAGCACCACCGTAGTACCGCCGTCGTCATATTTCTTACATACCCAAAATCTAATCAGCTTATCGCAGGATGGATTAAAGCTTAAGTTTAAAATTTGATGTTTTTCTCTTTATCCCTTCATGAGTTATCGAATAAACAGACACATACAGCACATCATCGCGAAAATAGACAAAAGGATTCAGGGGACCCCAGAACATAAAAATCCGCCCAAAAAAAAAAATACTTTTCTTCTGTATACAGACAGGAAAGGAAAAATTGTAAAGAGAAGCCACTGGCCACATTCCGGCCAAATTATTATCTCCTGGTAAAGTTTTTGTTAATAGAATAATCAACACTTTCCTATTAGTAGGAGAGCAGCCCACTGAAAAGTTCAACCGCTTATAATAAGAATATGAAATATGTTCAAAGGCATGTCACAATATTGTACTTTACCAAACGGCACCTGTATCAATCACTATCCTTAGCAAACTGGTTAAAAAACAATTATTTTATGTTCAAAAAATCACAAGACCGCGATAATTTGTTTTTTTTTTTTCACTGGTGTCTTCTGCTTCAACAAGTCATAAGTCGTGTTCTATATTAATTTTGTTTGTCCTGAAAATTACAGTAGTAATTCATGGTGAATCCGGAATTATTATTATTTTAACCTACCTTCTAAACCATGTGTGTGTGAGAAAGGAAGAAGGATGGATAAACTCTTGTTAGACAATAACAATATGTTGGATAGATGTTTTTTATGCGATATTTGCGGGAAGAAAAAAGTGTTTTCCTTTAACGATGTACTCAAGAAATATTTGAGTGTGTTATTTTCTAGAAAACTTTCAGGGCATGCAAAATTATCGCTGTCATGAATTATGTGATCTTTTGAATGTAATACTTTTTTTTTAACCTCTTCGCTCAGGATACGGGTTGGACACAGGTGCCGTTCGCTAAAAATACAATATTTGTACATGGCTTCGGTACATATTTCATTTAGTTTTCAGATGACATCCAACATTTGCCATATCAATGACTGTAGACTTTTGGTTGTAAACCACGTACCTACTCCTTACAGGATTTTCGCGAATCCCCTACATATTTTGGCGTACCCCCAAGAGGGTTGATGTCCATTGCTCTTATATTTATGTCATCATCACAATCTGTCCCAGACATTCAAATTTTCAATATAAAAATGGGATTTCCATTTAAAAATAAATTGTGATTATTATTTCCGGATAAATCAGAAATAAGCCATGACATTA